GATTACCTGGCAAGTTTATTATTATTATTATAAACAGCATCACACAATATAGCATATTCTAATGAATAATGACTAAGTATATTGTGTCAGACCTTTGAAACAAAGGTATAATATAATTCTTGAAAAAAACAAACCGCAATGACGTGCCCTTTTCAATGCTCGCATCAGGTGCATGGATTTACATTTACATGGCGTTTCTGGTCTCTGTGTCTGGTCTTATGTCCTCAACAATTTGTGCCTCCAAAAATTACACTTTATGCAAACATTTTGAACATAGTTCAAAATCAGTAAATAGTATTCTGAACGAGACCATAATGAAAGTTGTGTGTGTCTTTTTACATATGTACCATCATGACATGTTTTCCACGTTAATATGTTGGACACGATGTAGTTGATTTATTAAAGAGGAGAACAAAGAGCAGCAAAAATGTCCAATGCATGCTGTATTTCTTACTGATGCGTATTTAGAAGTACAAATAACAATCTAAAATTGGTCTGGCACATCTGCTTAAGTTAGTGCCAGTGCAATTTACGATCATGGTTGTTTTCACACATCCTAAGTGGCCAATTATACATCCCAGAGCTCCATAATATCAGTATCACATTTGGTAGTGGAACAGAGATTCTGGGAAAAGGAAAACAAAATCAGACATCAAGCAATGAATGACAAGGCTCGATTGTGTGTCTGATATAGAGCAGGGAGGCATCCACATTAAAAACAAATGTACATATTGGAGGCTACATACACACTCTTAACACATGGAATCAAACATTCTCAGTTTGATTACGCTGTCATAATAATGACAATGTATGGTAATTTTACTAATATATATGAAATCAGACTTCTTAATTAAGGAAGGCATTCCTTTAGATTTGTGCAAAAATACATATATGATGTGTTTGTGGTATGCTGTAAAAAATGAAAATAAATAAATAAATAAGCCACAGGGTCAAACTGTAAGCATTTAAAATTGAAAATTGAGATAAATGGTGATAAATTAATTCAGTTAATTGTTAATCTCATGTTATGACTCAGTGTGACTGTAAATTATCCCCTTTTTGGTATTGAAATATTGATGATCTAAAATTCACCCTTTTCAGTTGTACATTAGGCACATACTCTAGTATTTGTCTAGTATTTGTATTTTATCATAGAAGAAGAGTGGAGGAGGCTGTTGCCCTGCTTTTGTTGAGCCTTCGTCTTTGTGCTGTAAATCAATCATGAAGAATTCTGACAATTACACCTGATCTGAGGACAAATATCATAAACCAGATTGGAAAGCCTCTGACAGTCTCATATTTCAACACATATTATTACATGCTATCAGAATTATTTGTGAATGATTTACTGAAGTTGTCATGGCAACAGCTGCTACATCCTTGCAATCCCTGCTCCTCTGCATCTGATTCTACTGAGTGATTCATTTTGCTGTTTACCAACATCTGCTGTTTTAGACATGTTATTCCACACCTGCCCACCAGGTGTCCCTAGTCTGTCACCTGACACATCACCTGCTTCTCAATGCCCATTAGTCAAAACGTGTATATCAGTTTATTCTTATGGGCTGGTCACATCAGGATTTCCAGTGGAATCACCATAATCAGAGGATCCACTGGAGGAGGCAAAATTGTTTCTGCTCGATTTCTACTTTTTTATTTTAAGATGGTGCAGAGAATGACTGTAACAAATAATTCAAATTATGCTTACACATACATCTCTGCCACCCACTCTTCCCTAGTCACCCCTTCCCATGGCAGCATCCCTCTTAGTAGCCCTCCCAACAACCCACACTGGGATCTCACATGGACTGCTCAACCATAGTTAATGGGGAAAGGTGTAATGTATGGTGTTCCTCTGTTCATTCTTATTCTTTATTTGCACTGCTGACCACATCTCCAAAGTGGAGGATTTTGCTTTATTAATTTGGGCAGTAGACAGCTCAAGTAACAAAATGTCATGAAAATATGTTGGCCATTTCATAAGCTAAGCTCATGAGTCAGTAGCCATCTAAAAGTTTTTTGGCAGCTGTAAAATCTCCCAGCAACAGCTTGCGCTGTCTTTCATTAAATGATTTAATCCTAACTGTGAATTAACTTTGAAGAGCAAGGAAGTTAGATTGTGTGGTATGGCCTTACCCAGTGGTGTAGTGTAGGGTATTTGTAGGTATGCAGCATACACCCACTTTTAAATCCCCTCTAATGTGCATTCTAGTAGTGTTCTGTGATTACTTTTATTTTTTTTTCCAAGGATGGCTGACATAAATAGACATTTTCATGAGTGGACAGAGTAAGGAATAAGGACTATTTACACTCAAAATGCATAATTATATAGTTGTCTCTCATTTTGTGGGCCAGTACTGATTGCAAAATCTGCACCTCTTCTGTGGTTGATGTTAATTTTCAGTCAAGCAGCAGAAGTTAAGTAATGTGCAAATATTACTGACCCATTTTTGGCTGAGCTTAATATGCAATTCAGACAAAACTTTGGATACCTGACCCCAAAAGTCTTGAAGTCTTGTGCTTACAGCTTCCCAATGAGTTTAGTTGGCACATATTATACTACACATACTTTGCTGCATATTATCCCTCTCCTCTCTCTCTTTGGCTGTACTATCAAATAAAACAAAGTTGGCACATTTCAGAGTTTGGACTTTGTAAACCTGGTGACAGATGTATAATAAACTCTGTGATAGAAGCATACAAGGTAATTTGCCACACATTGTCCCAAGATATGTCTTCATCCTTTAGATCAGTGTCTGTAGAGTTGACCTTTGGGGGGTACAGAGAGTCTGAGAGTCCAAAATGGAGTAAGTGATCTTAGCTTATTATATATATATATATATATATATATATATATATATATATATATATAGCATATATATGTCTAGCTGTTGTGCCATCTGTCGAAATAAACAGAACAGGACAATGGTTTGCAGACAATTATGAGGAAGGAGTCAAAGGTACGGTACAAATATGCATTTTGAATAAACTGCTTGAACTTATTGTTCTGTTAGCGATGGAGCTAAGCTAAAGAGTTTGCTAACTGACTGTTAGACAGATCAAAGTAAACAGAACAATTTTTAAAAAAAGGAAACTGGTGTGTTAGCTGTTAGCTCACCAGCTACAGCAGTTCTTGTTACAGACATGTAGTGTATTTAGCCTATCACACACAAACAAAAACATTGTCATGCCATCAAGGTGTTGATTGTGGTGTAGGGTTAATGATGGCTGCTACAATCTTTTATATGATTTTGACAACAATAATTTCAAGTTTCAACAAACCATTAACCTGACACTCACTTTTCTCAAAAAGTCTGAGTAAGGGATGTCAGTAAAGGTGTCTAACAGACTAAAAAATCAATGTGAGTGACATGAGGTTGAGATACTGATATCGCAGCCACTATAATTAAATATGGTTTCATCTTTAGCACACATTTATCTTTGTCATCGTAACACTTTAAAAGCTTCAGCAACCTATGAATAGAGATTACTGACATTCTGTCCTTTTGTCACCTTCTTAATTGCCTCTTACTAACTGTTCTCAGGAACAGCAAAGATTACTCTACAGTGTGATTAAATTAACCAGACCTGCTTAATAAAATAAGGAGGAAATTTGAATTCATTCTGACATACATCGTGATTGTTGTCTGTGTGTTGCAAAATCGAGGATGCCCACTTGTTTTCTTTTATTTAATTTTTTGTCTTTTAAAGCACACTTTAAAAGACACTACTCAAGACTTGTAGCTTTGTGGTTCCAGGGTCCATGAGAGGCTGTCAAAGCTTGCTACACACGGGGGAAAAAATTGACAACTTTGCTGTTTTTATATTTTTACCAGTAGTGATGAAATTAAAATTAATTCTTCACCCACCATTATTAATCTTTAAACTACTTTCCTTTTTTTTACATTCAACGTATATAGCTATTGATATATAGCAGTGCACCTATTGCTATTTGAATGCAGCATGTCTTTTCACAGGACATAATGAAGGGCAATGCTGAATATGTAATGTTTGTCAGAGATTTTCTGCCATGGTCACTGGCTAACCATCAGAAAGCAAACATTAACTGTCTGTGTAGTGCAAATGTATTTTTGCAAATGCATGTTTGGTGCCATCTGGTGACTTCAAGCATTGGACTTGAAGGATTTAAAAAGCAAGTTCCAGGCGCCTGATGTATGGAATAGAACAGCTGCCATAATAGAACTTGAATTGGTCTGTAGAATAATGAACACATCTCAAAACACACCAAGTTTGCAGAACATACTTAATTGGGAAGACCCTCAGGCCCTATAATCTTACGGATAAATTGAACACTGCAGTGTACCATGCTGTGTTACATAATACATTGTTTTTCTAAGTTGCTCCTACATGGAAGAAGGGAGTGTCTCTACACTCCAGTGGGAGCACAGTTGGCAGTAAAAGGATTTTTGAAATAAGAGTCAGACAGTGTGTTGAAATTTGTGACTGATATAGGGAGGTTCCCACTGGAATCTGTCGCTAGCCATCACCTGTAACAACAACATGCAATCAGTTAAGAAATACCTGGGAGACTGTTTCATTCTAAGCATGTCAGAACATGAAATGTGGGTCTTTATGAAATACATGTACTGAACTGAGCTGCAGTTTGTCCCATAAGAGCAAAAAGGTGAGTTTATTGAGAAAATGTGAATTCATGTAAATTAAGGTTTAAACTGCAAAGTAGATGAGGATCTAAGATCTGAAGATTAAAATAATTTTCTTGAAATGACCCTAAGTCCTTAATCCTTCAAGATACAGATATGATATCAATACCACCCATGTCTGATGTCAAGGCAAATATGCTGACACAGAAATTTTTTCTAATTAATATATGAGTTAGTTTGATTTCCTAAATTACCAATATTGATAATATTTGCTATGTCATGTGAGTTAGGTGGCCTCAGTACTTCGTTTTGAGTTAGGATTTTTCCATAAAGGGAAGGTGTATACTCATTTCACACTGGATACGCCCATGCTTGTGTTGGAAGGAAGGACTGTAGAGGTGTAATCACACAAGGGAGACTCTTTCCACCTCTCTGCAGGATCTGAGAAAAAGGAACTTGACGCTGCTGTCTTGCAACTTACGTGATTAACTCCAAAAGGTGAATATAATTACTACTTACAGCAAGATTCTAGCTTAAATGTGATCTGTCTGTCTCTGTCTATAGATAACCTTTTCTCATCATTCTCAGATAAAAGCAGTTCTCATATATTTAAGCTATATTTACATTTTATATACGCATACTGATACATTCATTTCAGGAGATTTTGTAAATGAGAAGAAAATCAGCTTGGTTTGACTATGAAAGTATCACCTTTTCAACTTATGACTTAAACACTCAGGTCTTTTCTTCACGTCTGTTATATAAAAGAAAAGTATCTATTTACTGCACAATACTTGGGCAAATGGTGACCTATTAGCAGATATACAGTTCTAAACAGTCAGTCCTGTTCCTCTTGTAGCCAAGATGCCAGAAACAGCAGAAGCCGTGTCAGCCACTCTCACCACCAACAGAAACTGCACCATAGAAATAACCAACGTCAGCGGAAGCTACTGCCTCATCAACCCCAAGTGAGTCTGTAAATATATTTACCAATTTAATACATGTGGTTAAATGAACAGAAAATTGCAGTGTGCAAACCGGAATGGAGAAGGAGGACACAAAAATGTTTACTTCAAAAAGTACAAATTACTGAATGGCCTGATACAGTGCATGCAAAGATAACCCATTGAAATTATATTAATTGTAATTTGCTTTTTTCTTGGTTAAAATGTATCTCTAAATTGGAGGTCAGTGCAAGTTAGCAAGGTCTACATATTAATCACCTGCATCCACATGTTTTCTGCACAGAGGTAAATTACTGCATAAAATCATGGCTCGTGTACTCAAGTTTGATTGGTTCCAGGGAGACATATTCCTTTTCAAAAAACTTTGAATGCAATGCATTGCTTTGAAGTGCTTTGAGAATGCAATGCCTGATTACAGCTCCAACTCAGCATCTTGATATTAGCATGCAATCCCTTCAGAAAAACAAGTAGTATCACAACTTTTTCATAGAAAAAGCAAAGATTTCCTGCACGAAAAGTCGAGATTAATTAATAGTGGTTATACTGTACTTAATTATAGGTAATGCTCAGTGATATTGTAAGTGAAATGTCAGTGCACAATCTTTTTAACATGAATAAATTAAATTTGGTTGGTGCCTATTCAGCCTGTATCAGCAATGCAATCTGTTTCTTCCACTTCTGCTAAAAAGGGGTAAATGAAACAATACAATAAAACAATAAAATAAATAAAAATGACCCATGTGTATTAGAATTTTTACCATGCTTCTACATTTATCTAGCTGTGGCAGGACAGACCATATCTTGGATGGGTGGTTTTCATGTGTGACATCACTTTGCTGCAAACATCCACCTATCCATCATGCAGTGACACACACTGCCTCATTGCACATCGTATGCAGGTACACTCACTGTTGCTTAGAAGTCCACAGGAGTACTTGTACAGTCACACTCCATCCATCAGCATAAGGTATATCAGGTACCCTGGAAAGCCCAACACTCAAAAAGTAAACTGACAATCTCCACAAAACTTCCAAAACTCAGTTTTTTCATCAAAAGTCTGGGCAGGGTGACATAAAAGTTATCAATTGATTGGTAGTGATGGTAAGAATTTGTCTTTTTCTCTCCTGTATAGGGTGTACATGACAAGTGGCTTCTGTCAGCACCCGCCCCAGCCTTCCATTCGTACCACTAGGACCGAAGTGTGCTCCTTCACCAAGGACGACAACACTGCCACTGGCGCTGTCGGCCTGCTGACCTACGACCTGTTCCATATGCAGAGCCGGGTTTGCTCCGAGCGCATGGCCATCATGTTCTCTGTGCCCTTTGACCACAACCTGTACAAGAACCGGCTGGCCGTGGGCGTGGTTGAGCATTCCCGTGCCTGCGACAAACATCTGTACGACCAGATGTATGATGGGAAAGACCTCAGTAACTTTACCCGCTCTGACACAAGTGGCTGTGGGCTGCTATATAAAGCTACATATGTTGATTTGAGGGCTACAATGTCTAGTGTTGGTAAGGCCATTGTTAAAGTGGAGCTCTATGATAAAATGGGCCATTAGTGTGGAAAAGTCTACTGATATTCTGCCTTTTTGTACTTTCTTGCTTTTGTACCCGACAGAATAATAAAATTTCATTTGGTTTAACTACTGTTGCATGTTGTCATTCAGCAAAAACATCCTGAGGAGAGGAAGACTGATTTTGCTGTCATCTGTATTTTGTGTCCACTGAAAGATATCAATATCTGACAGCCAGCTCATTGATTCTCCATTAGCTTATTTCTTGGGCTTATGTATATTCCACACTCCCCTTTTCTTTGATTATGGTAATAAAAATAAAATAAATTCAGACCCAATGCTTGTTGCTTTGTGTGGGATGGGTTTTTACTCAGTATGCTTTCATGATTACTGATGAACAGTAATCATTTTTTAATCTCTTAGCTGGATCCATCCAATTCTAATGAGTAGCAACAGATGGAATATCTGCATAGATGTTTTTTTAATCGGCATGATAACAATATTGTTCTTCACTGGCTGTGAGATTCTCCATCTTGCTCTGAAGTGTGTGGTTTTTGTGTGGTATTTCAAATGAAAGAGGTTCAACAAAAGACAGAAAAAGATTAAAGTAGCTCCAGAGATGTCTGTCTTTACTTGTATTGTTAGTGCTTTTTTCTCTGTTGCACAATACCACAGGAATGAGATTCCCGAACCATCTCACTCAGTCAGTCAGACATCCATGTACCCACAATTCTGTAGGAGCGTGCTGAGTGGATTACCTAACAGGCCTGCGACCCAATAAGAAACTGTTTACTCTGTCGCAAACTAGGGTGTGGCAGTTTCATCCCACAGGGGAAAACACAGGAATATTTGTTCTCATGCTCTTTTTGTGCGGGTTGTAAATGTGTGTTGAAAGAGTGTGTATACTCTCCAACTTGGGTTATGTTGCAAGTGGGAGGGTTTTCTGGGTAGTTGCGTACATCCTTGTTTAAAAAAAAAAGAAAAAAAAAAGAAAAAAACCTACAGGCACCTCCCTTTCAGGTAACTTTTTCCACTTTGGGACTTGGGAGCAGCAACAGAAGTTCTCAGCAGGTAAGTCACTTCGAACATTTGTGAAAAAAGAATTATTTTATAAGAGGTATTCAAGAGAACAGCTCATTAGCTCATGACTAAGAAAAAAAGCAATTTGTAGAGGCATACAGATGCCTGATGTGGCATTTCTTTGATTTGTTTCTTATATCTGTTGATAAAAGGGCTGATCATTTTCTCTAGCGTTTTCACTCTAACTTCATTATTCTATGCTACTTAGTGCTGTAATTGAAGAGGTACAATCTCTAATGAGGCAAGAAGAGTCTGCAGCTATTCTCTGATTGTTCACAACAGTTTTGAAAACTCATTAGCCTCTGAAATGCATCATTCATACCCATTTCCAGTCTATGTGCACTTTTAAAGGTTAGTGTAATGCCAATACAGCAGAGCAGAGGTCAGGATAACATTTTATGTTTTAATAAGTGGGATTCTCATGATTCCCAGTGTTTAGGTGTGGAGGGAAGTGCTAGTCACAGCTGGTATGTTGTTCAGTGCAGCTGGTTAACATCTCAGTTACCTTTGTTTGACAAGCAGATCTCAGAGCAATTCCAAAATGACAGAGTCAGCTGAAGCAGTTGCAGCCGATGTGGCCAGCAAGAGAAGTGTTACCATTGAAATCTCAAATATCACTAACAACTACTGTCTCATCAACCCTAGGTAAGCCCTGACTGTGTCAGAGTCATGTATTTTCAGGCTTGTTTAAAATATATCCTATAGATCTAAAAATATATATGTAACACATGTTTCTATTTGTGTGATGCTTAGGGTTTACCTCGACAATGGGGAGACATACAACCCACCTCAACCCACAGTGCGCCCTCTAAAGACTGAGGTCTGCACTTTCACCAAGTCCAGCGGTAAAGCAACCGGCAGCATTGGTGTACTGACCTACGACCTTTTTGAGAAGTCACAGAATGACTACATCGAGACTCTAGCCATCATGTTCTCAGTTCCCTGGGACTACAACCTGTACAAGAACTGGTTTGCAGTGGGAATCTATAAAAAGGGCCGTAACTGTGATAAGGATTTGTTCAAAGAAATGTACTACGAGAAGAAGCAGCAAGAGCATGGGTTTGTCAGGGAGGAAGCCATTGGGTCAGGTATCAATTATGTGGGCAACTACTTAGATATCAAGGCCACCATGTGCCCGCTGGGCAAATCCATCATGAAGGTGGAGGTGTGGGATAAGCTTTTCACACCCATGGGTCAGCAAGCGTACTAGAGACCCCTCCTAACCAGTGTCCCTGCTGCAGGATTCATCCCTCCATCTCAAGCTTTTCCCTGGAAGACAGTTTCTAATACAGTCAACACGCATGATTTAAAAGATGTATTGTTGCTGACATGTGTCTGTATACCTGGGTATTACCCTTCAGTAAATCTGCTTAAGATCAGAGTTTAGTTTGTTTATAAATCCAGGCAGCAATAACCCCCCCTTTTATAGCCAAAGTCTCTGTCTATTTCAATAGCATCCGGTTTTAAAATGGCATCTTTAGAAATGAAAATCAAAGGATGACTCACCAGAGGACGAGGGCTCATAGCTTAATAAAACATACTGAGAGCTTGTCTGTATTTACCTTGACACTGTAATAAAATAAACCCTTTTCTGAAGCTATTTGTGTATGTCTGGTGATTGAGTTCAGAAAAGCGCAAAAGTGCTTAAAAAGAAATGGAAATTAAAGTTTTTAATGCAAAATTGTGATTTTTGCGCATGCATACTATCTGAAGCATGCTCTGAATATTTGCAATGGATTCAGAAGGATCAGTTTGAAGTGAAATTTAGATTCAAAGGGTGCCGTTTTTTTCCAAAGGTGTGTCCGTATGGTGCTCTCTTACAGCACCATACGGGCACACCCTTTTCTCTTGTTACCCAGCATTCAAGTATATCAAGCACCACTAATATTTACAGTACACCAAAGATCATGTAAAAATGTAAGACTAAACTAACTAACTGCAAATCGTTTTAGTGGATTTCTATTAAGATATTATAATTTTCTGTGATTTTTAAAATCTGCAACTCAATTGCTAAATTCTGTGGAAACATCAGGGTAGCTGATGCAAATAGCAGTCAGAACACCAGAAACTGAACAGACTGAAATCAGTTTTGTGACAAATATATCCTAAATAATGTCTCCACAAACACATAAATGAAAACAAATAGTCAATTCTTGGCAAATAAAACCATGTGTCATTAAGATATTTTTAGGAGACTCAGTAGCACAGTAAGTACAATGATGTTTGAACTAAAGAAGGTTTTAAATGTCTGCTTTGCCATCCTGGCAGCACCAGTGGGAACACTAAAATGTGTCACATTCACAGGTTCATTTTTATGAACCAGTAAACTCAAGGAGAAAATGAACTGGTACATTTTCTTTTGTTTTAGATTATGATCTTGCTTATTCGGTAATGGTGACTGAGATAGAAATGGGTTTAGGTGAAGAAGACCCTATTATTTTGACTGCTCAGCAACTCATTACCCTTACTGAAAGCTTTATAATTCTTTAATTGGGAAGAAATGACAATCTTGATGTGCTATCTCATCCTCAAACAACTTGTTTTGCAGTAATGGCACAGCCAATTTTCTGTAGCTACTGTCATTAACCTTAGGAGAATATAGGGTTCTAAAGCAGGAGGCAGTATGTCAGCTCTTAATTTACATCACAGGCGAAGTTATCAGGTTCCCCCGATTGTATTTACAATCTTAACACTGCATTCATGATTCTGTTTTCCCATTAGATTCATGATGCTTTCGCTGCATTAACTGTTCCAGCCACAAAGAAGCCCAGATCAAAGGTTTTTGCTCACTGTCACCGTTGCATTTGCATAAAAGCCATACATAATATAGAGGCATAAACTAGGCCTGTTTAGGCTCAATCCCTGAAGCATTGTAGCATACTGTATTGGAGAAATGATACACAGTCCCTATAAACAGATGGGGATACTAAGCAGAAACTTTTGTTTGTCACAGCTTTAAAATGGGGATAAGTTCCCACACATTCCTTTCATATTTTTCCTTTCAATCTAGCCCCTATGTTTACTGTACCTGCATATAAGTCTTCTTTCATGTTTTGTGTTATATTGTTTACTGTGTGTGTTTGTGAGTGAGTGCCTTACGTTTGTGTTTACGTACAGTAGGGTAAATGTGTTTGCATGCTTTTGTGATGAGCATCTCTGAGTGTGTACACACGCACCTGCTAATGCAGAGATGGATATTTCATATCAAATACATTCTTTTGTGCATTATGTGATTTGTATTTAACAAGTCTGACAAAAATATTTCAAGAACAGGTGGGATTAGACTTCTTAGACAGGAAACAAAAGATATGTGAATTTTTTTATTTTCCTGTGTAGATAAACTTAAGAGGCTCAGCCTTTGTGGATTGAAACTGATGTTATTCACCACTAAACAGCAGTGAACCTAGCTGTTTGTCATGGTAAAAGCTTCTGTAAAAATCCTTCCAGGATGTTAAGAGGAAAAGAAGGTGGATGAGTGCAAGTGCAACGCCAAAGTCAACACAGTGGCATGTCTTTTCATACGATATAAATCAGTTGACCACATTAAAACAACAGTAGGGCCAAGTAGCTGAATGCAAGGAGATGAGAGAGGTGAAATGGAAAAAAACAGTGATTTACCATGGCAAGGAAATCCTTACAGCCTGTTAGAGCCTTTTAAATTTTCAATTCGTATTTTACTTATTTTGACAACACAAAGGAATGTTTAACTCTTAATTAATTCACTTAGTTAAACTGGTAGTTTTCATGCTTCAAACAGAAAGAAGCTGAAGAGTGAACGCAGCAGCATGCATCTCCTCTCCCTGTTATCATCGCCAGCTGTTATCAACATCATACAGTGGCGGTGTTTCTTCAGAGCATAATGATTGATATATTTTAATTTTTCAGACTCTCAACAAAGCTGAGCTGATCAACACATTAACTGGGAGAGTCAGGTCATTAAATGTATTTGCATCAAAGGTTCAGCTTCCAAGTTTGTTTGAATTCATTGAAGTCATTCTGTTTGCTTTGGAACCAAGCCTTCAGTACATAAGAATTGTATTGTATATTGACACAAACTGGGAGTGCCCAAACCGAAGCATAAAATAATTTAATTTCAATGATCTGAGGTTTGAGTGTGAAATGCAGCCTTTTCAACAGCCTAAACCACTACATGCAATACAATCAGGATAATGCATATTCTTCTCTCTCAAAGTGAATAGAAGTATACAGTATATAAAATGTTTCTCAGTGCTATCAACCACTAAATATGCTCTCAAATACTGCCATCTAGGGGCCACCTTTAATATTAAGTGTGCTCACACAATTCACAGCTTAAATGCTCTAAAGTAGGGAAGGGAAAAAAAGAGGATTTTTCAAGCTATTTTTAAAAAGCTTTAAGACTCATACTACTACATACTACGGTGACAGTAAAATATAATGTATACATACAGAGTGAGGACTGGTTTTAAGCGGAGAAGTTTTTGTCTTTGTATCCTTAGAAACCATTATTAGCAGACAGTAGTATTAAAGCAGATCACCCTGTGTCTTCTCCTTCTATCCTTGGCTCTAAACAAGTCTTGACATCCAGCATGGCCTGGTTGAAAAGTTCACTCTTTGTCAACCCTGATGTGTGTCAGGCTGGCAACAGTCGCCTGCAACCCCATCATCGGAGCTCAATTACAGGCCTCAATCTCAGTCAGTTTCCCCTCCAGAGACTCTTCCAGGGTAAAACAATAAAGTCAGATGTTTCTAAGCTAGGCTGGAGTTGCATTGTTCTGCATGTTTGTTTTGTTTTTCAAAATTTCTGTGGGTTATATTCCGCAGACTGTTCATAATTCCTTTGGATGGGATGTGAGGGTCGAAGGTCATATTATTCCTAGCAGGCTTTGGGAATTGTCTCATCATGTTAGTTTGTTATTTTGGAGCTTTTTTGAATGACACAGATGTGTATCATGTAACAATACAGATAACTTGAGGGGGGGACACTTCGTTCTGTCTACAGTACTTTTTCATTATTACAAGAAACTGACCTGCCATGATGCTTCTTTCTTCAAAGGCTATAATGTTGGTGATTCTTGAAATAAATATTTTGTTTTAAAATGTCATTTATGTTATCACTTAAGTTGAGCTATACAGAAACTATGTCCAATTCCAACCCCAAATTTTGTCATATGTGATACTAAGGTAAGGTATGTAAACTACATTGCATGAGTATGAGCAGTGAAACAGTGTAAATTGAGCTGTTATTGTTTTCTTTTTCTTTTTCTTTTGAGGAGACAAGATAATAATGCAAACACACACAATGTTTCTTTTTAAAGCATCTTAAATCAACACTTAATGATAATAATAGATAACAACACACTCACAGTGATGAACCCACAGAGATGTATCTACCTGAGCTGACCTCAACTCATAGTTTCCATATTCCGACCTCCAATTTCACTGTTTTGCTTCACACTCATGCCTACATAGCATTTGTTTTTTGGCTGTCTTTGGCAAAAAAAAATATTTTGAAAAACTGTATGCAACCTTCCCAGCATCAAACAGCAGTAACTATCAGACTGGTGAATGTAGTAGAGCATTTAACAGCTAAATAGTCAGATAATTTCCTCAGGAGTTAGTGGACATCGAGAACACAGAGAGCGTGAATATTGCATTTACATTAATCTACAGCTTGTTTCCACTGCCCCCAAGTGGTGACAAAAGATATTATTGTAGATTTTAATTATCCATGAATTATATTGTAGAGACTTACCATAATGTTTAGACAGTCTACAAACCCAGGTTAAAGTCTACAGTGGTGATGTGATGTGACCCTCCTTGAGCCCCTACATAAGGACTGCACATCCTTATTTATTCATCTTTATATTCACCCTCTTTGTCTGAGCTGCTCCTGCTTAATTTGTCATTATTATTATTATTATTATTATTATTATTACTATTCCAGATATGGCATAATATGCAAGTAAACATCTTATAACCTGCAATTTAATGTCTCACTAGCATGCTGCATATTGCTACAGTACATGTTTATTTTGCTGCTCATTTTGTCCTCTGTCACCATTGGCAGCTTGTAAACACCCAGTATCCACTTGCATGTGACGACTCAGCCAGCAATGCAATGTACTGCCCTCTAGTTTTTTCTCTGGTAGACCAAATCTTCCTTCAAGTTGTCCAGCTGCAGCTTCCGGTCTTATATATTTCAGGGACAAATCTGTAAGGCTCTTTATCAAAACAACAATGTTAACCTTCACAGGTTGGTCAGGCCCTGCTCCTTTTCTATCATCCTCAAAAAAATAAGTCTCTTGTCACTAAAATTTTAAGCTGGCAGTGGAATGTGGTTGTTTATGCTATGAATCTCTTTGATTTTATTATGACTGATCGAGTAGCAGTTTTTATGTCAAACCTACTTGAATGTACAGTCATCTGCTGCCAGCTTGGTGTCATCCAGCTGAAGGGTCAGCTCTGACACAGCAGGGCGAGCTGCCTGGATCTCACACAACAAAGTAATTACTCATGTCATACTGAATGACTCGCATGAATGGGTGCAATCTTTTAATCAAGTCTGGCAAAACTCCAGCCTACAAGTGTTGCAATAAACTAGTCGGCGAGAAAAACATGTAATTCAGACAGATTTTTATAAATAAAGACATCTATAAATGGAATAACTCATCAATAACTGGGCTCGGCACCAGGAAGCTGACCTTCTTTGGCCAGCTGTGGAGGTTGACCAGCTGTCATTGATGCTGCTGAATGCTTTTTCATAAGAAGCATTGAAGCTGACACTATCAGCCACCTCAATTATTTCCACAGTCGAGGTCCCCAGTCACACAACGTCTACTAAGACTGCCAAAGGAACTAGCAGTTGATGTACAGATGCCCTTACCCGCTGTCCTTCCAACCACTCTGCCAGATCACTGGGACATAACAGTCATCAGCTCTCACGGTGAGAAGACCCAGAGGCCGCGACAGAGGCTCCGGAGCCAAAACACATCACCCTGCAACTGAAGACACAGCTGTGGCTAGCAAGTGTGATTACTGCAGAGAGAGGAGGGTCTTCTGTAAATGCAATATATGTCTCAGTTCAAGAAAGATATAGCCATGTATCCTTGGGTGTATCGTATATTTTCACATCTAAAGGTCACTATGAGTAAGTAAGTCTCAGTTCTAATTTTACTTATGTTTTCATCATATTCATCATTATCTTGACTTCAGTAATTTTCACCAATCAAGTATAGTACATAATATTTCCTCTCTAATTTGTCAATCAGAACTATCTCTGTCAGATTTTACACAATAAAATATATCTGGAGGACTGCAGGTATGTTACCTGGTCCATTTGAGAGAGCAGTTCCACCCTAACAGCATTAAGTCAACCCACTTCAGTGTCATCACAGATCCCTGAAAGGCCCATTGGACTGTGTTCAGATGAGCTGATTTATATACAAGTTCAGGTATCTTAAAATGTTCTGTAATTATCCTGTGCATAGCTGAGGGGCTGCACAATAACCTCTTGGCCTTATCCTGCTTTGAAAGATTCCTGGTGATACCAGTATAGCTGCAACGAAAAGCCCAGATCTATCTAAGGACACCAATTTTGTATTGTCCGATTTTACAATTACAATCACATTATTGTGCTGTCACATAAATCATATATATATATATATATGGAGTTTATAATATTTGAGAAATATTCCATTGCTCATAGAAAAAAAACAGGGCCCCCTTAAGCTCACCTGGTAGAGCTGGCACCCCATGTAACAAAGGCTGAGTCTGCAGCAACCATGGGTCTGAGTCTGCCCTCAGGCCCTTTACTGAATGTCATCCCCTCACTCTATATCCCTTTTCCTGTCAAGCTTCAGCTTTCCTATCCAATAAAGGCAAAAAGCCCAAAATATATATACTATATCTTACAACTCCAGATTTTGCCTGAGAACCATCACATTTTTAGTTTTTTTTTCATATCTTCTTCTTTTCAAAGTAATCCAGTGATAGTTGTCGGTACAACTACGGGTACACTGCACATAGGATCTGTCCAAAGCCTCTCGCTCAAAGATTTAAAGTAGGGAAATTAACACAAAAATTATTTTACAGAACATAGTGTAGTTAGTTCTCAACTTTGTCACTAGTTTTCCGTTCCTCCTTAAAACCATACTGAGAGGAAAAAAAGGTAACTCTGGGTTAACATTTTTTTAAAGTTAACTTAACCCTTTTTAACATTTAACTTTTCTTTTAGATGACAGTCATGTTGGTAACTGCTAGTATTAAAACGTTCTACTAAGTCATGAAGCAGTTTGTCACTATATCACATAAAACCACTAGAGGGCAAGGTTTCCTGACTGATAAAAACAAATGTACTCTATATTGACCTTGGATATTTGACTTGTGCACTGTACGTATGCGCATATTGTTTTGTGAAACAATCAATGTAATGTGAACTATCAAATATGATTAATATCGTTTTCACAACCACATCTTGCAAAATGGCATTAGAAATGGTTTCTGGCTTACAGTAACAATAAGGAGTAGCCTAACACAGAATTGGATGAGATCAGAAGGGGGTGGGGAAAAGGATGACCCGACATCTAGAGAGGAAGAAGGTCACCAAACACACTTTCCCACCCAGCCCTGCCAGACATACACAAACGCAGGCCCACCCTGCAGTGTTGTGTTTGCCAGATGAGGGTGTGATACATGACTGCTGTCACTGCTTCCTTCACTACATCAGCACTTGCACAGCATAGCAACTGCGCCACAATATACCGTGCTGCTCGTTGAAGATACAGTGAAACACTACCTGAGGCGCAAAGCAGTGCCATCTGCGCTGCACTCAAGGGAAATGATTGTTTAATCAAATACTGACAAAGGTTAAAGGGTACTTTTGCTAGAATGATGCCACAAATCTGTTGATGTATCCTTGTGAACATGAACTGAAATGAATGCAGTCTGCTTTTTTCATTTTGTGATTGGTTACAAAACATATTAAATTTTGCTGGTTTTCATTTACTCGACAGTCTAGATGAGAACCAATAAGAAGCAGTAAATATTTCAACTGTAGATTTAATTGCATAAAATATGAAAACGTTTATCAAAATACATACAGTACATGGTGTGAGAGCAGGTAGAATGTGTTCTCTCAGACAGTACAGTAAGTCCATTAAGTCCTGACAATGGCAGAAATAAAACACAGTATATAAATACACAATTTGTTTCCAGTCTGAAAGCATTAACCATGGCTTTACCATCATTCAATACTGACTGAAACATAACCATATTATCGTGATTCAGGCAGAAGATAACATTTTTATCTTCTTGTCATTGCTCAGTGTTTATCACTATAAGACAATGTCTATTTTTCTGAATTGGGTGGAGATGTTAGATCCACTTTGCTTCAATTAGCTCACCATATAGTCATGAGGATTGTCATTGTTTGGACACAGGAAAGTGCTGAAGGGTTTCTTAATGTTCAGAAACAGACAATACCAGGAAAGAGATCTACTTTTCTACACATACCCACTCATTGTGTCCCATCTGTAACCTCTGACCCCAAACCTTACATACACTGTGACTCACATAACCAGATCCATACATCAGACTTTACTAATTTTCCTGTCCTCCCTGTCCACATATAAAAGACCCTTTTCATAAGACAAACATGGACACCTACCTGTATCCAATTCAGAAATAAAAAATGTTTTAGGTTGCACATGTTCTCTGCATACACACTGTACATTGTCTAATTAATGGCTCAAAGCAGTGTTTAGTTTGAGTGGTAGTAAAAATAAATGCTTAAGAAGAATTCAGCAATAAAAAATATCTTGTCTTTTATCAACACAACTGCTGTCCAACATAATGAGGAGTGTCAACACAAATATATTTTGCCTTTACTTTTGCAAGCTCTGGAGCTTTTGTTAACATAACCCTGAAACCCTAAAAATCAAGCTCTGTGTTCTTAATAGTGTGTGCAAATTGGGTGTGACCAATATAGAAAGGTTCAGATCTTGAGTCAGGTGGTTGAAAATATAACATTTGTCACAGTATGGTACAGAACTTTAGAATAACATAGATTTCGTCACAGTGAGTCTCTGCTAACATTAAGGGATGTGTTATTGAACAGCCGCAATAACTGTGATGCTGCAGATAGTCCTTCTGTCCTCTCTGAAGTCACTGGTGAAAAGAAAGCACAGCAGCGGTACATGTGTCCTCAGGTTGAGATACGAGGGACAGCGTAGGTCAAAAGCATAATATTCTTGGTGACAGTGAGCGGAGCAGAAATTCAGGATTTTCAGGAGCTGCCATCCCCATTCTTGGTCTTGAGCACCACTAGGCTAACCATGATGGGGATCAGGCAGATGGGAGTTATCACCAGGGCAAAGATGATGGATGGTGGTGGGTCGCTTAGCTCCTCTGTGGGACAGTCCTTGAAAAACTCTGCGTGAATGTCCACAAAGGTCTTTTCCACCAGAGGGTTGGGCCATGGGATCAGGAGACAGTCAGATATCTCCTCTGTGCAATAGCTTAGGGTACTATACAAACTGCAATGTGAAGACAAGGAGTGTGTGGAAGATTATTCAGACATTAGCAAATATATATAGAATTATTATTTATCTTTAAAGTTAAAAAATAATTAACTGCAAATATAAACACACTACTTACCCACTCACGTTACGCCAAATGCACCACTCAGTGTTGTTTAGTGATGCCATCGATTTCTTAAAATTCTGGAGACATACACTGTCAAACATGAAGGAAAGGCACTCCATTGTTGGTCCACCAAAAAAACTAGGACAGATTTCGCAATAGTCCATACAAAGGTGAGAATTATTCCCACAAGCTGCATGAATTACAGAGTTAGAGAGAGAAAGAGAAAAAGAGTCACAAAGAAAAAGAGAGACAGATTAGAAAATGACAATAAAAGATCTCCATCAAATTCTCTGTTGATAGAATGATATAAGGTTGTGTATGACTATGCATGGTTATAAAGTAATGCCACCTACCAAATGGCAAGGTAGACTGCCCATTAGTGGTATCTAAAACAGAGAAAAATAAAATTTTTAGATTAAATACCCTTACATCAAACAGTAGACTATATTGGCAGTCTTCCAATCTGCCATTAAACTTCCCCTCTAACTCAGTTCAGCAGAAGTTCATCAAAGACATACATTCTAAACACATTTCAAAGCAAAGAGTATTTTTGTCTGCTGTAACTCATGAGTTTCTTCACTTCTAATACTAAGGCAGGCATTTGCAACTGTAGAAGGGAGACCACACACTCACCAGAGAGAACGGAGAGGAATACCCCAATGAAACCAAGCGCTCCCTTCATGTCAGAAAAAATGAATAAAGGTGCGTTTTCTCCAACTGATGACCATGTATAATAAACCTAAACTTCTTAGAGTGTGTACAGCGAGGCATAACAGGAAACCCGACAGGATGGAAGAGACGCAGTGTAACCTTCGGTTACCAGATGTCCAAACAGAGTTACCCGCGGTTAGCAGATGTTCTTCGAAGATCTGTCTGACGGCCCTGCGCCTTGGCAGCAGCTCTTCCTCTCTCCAACACACGTTTCTTTTGGATTTTCTTCCTTTTTTAAAGGGGTGGAGGCAACAAAGATTGTCCTCTCCATTCTCCCAAATAAAAGGGAGCACACCCAAGCTGGGCTGGACTCACATCTGAAAACCCTTTACTCTTTAACTCTTGTTCTGCTTTTTAGTCTCAGTTTCTCACAGTCGAAGGCCTGGCCAGCTCACAGCATGTGATTTATTTGCCTTTTGGGCTGCCTCTGCCAAATAGGAAACATAAGTAAACATTTAGGGCTTAGCATTTTGGGGTGGATGTAATCATGACTCTGCAGGGTGTGCTGCACAGACAGCCATGATTTCATATTTAGGTTAATTTGACCAAACCTGGAAGAAGTTATTAGTCAGATCTGAACAGCTGTTTAAAAGGCCAACTATCTTTACACACACTACAAAGGAAACAAAAGTGTGGGAAACTTGAGTGTGACACATCTGTAAGGTAGTTTCTTACTGTCACCACTCACCACTTTAAAGAGCAGTGTGAGAGAGGTGGTTTCATTGATTGAATGAAAAATGAAATGTATGGTTCATGTTTTCTCACGACCAACTTGTTAATTTATGTCACTAAATCCACATGTTGGGCCTCTCACAACATCTGTTTGCCGAGCAGCATTTTGATTTAGTAATGACATCAGGAAATGTGTCTTTTCAGCAAAGGAGGAGCTCAGAGTTGGGGGGAGTTGGCAGGGGGAGGAGGGGGGACAGTCAGGGGAAAGGGGAAAAAAAGGAAGGCACATGATGAGGAACAGTGAAAGGGGCGCTGCTCCAAAGTTCCAGTTATTTCACAATTCAGAGTTCATGCGTTGATCACAGACGTTGCATGGGGTGAATGACGAACAAATTCAGGAAGTTGAGCCAGGTGGGGGCTGCTCATAATGAGGTTTAAGTTAACCTTTAACCCCAAACCATTATGGGCCTCGTGTCTACTGCTGTTGACCCCTCACTGGTAGAGACCTCCCCAGGAGTTTGTCTTGGATTCACATGGTAATACACACAAGGAGATCTTGGCAGAAAGCAGGGTCTCTGAGCTCTGCTTTCTGTGTTTGTCAGTTCTAGGCCAAGCAAATGAGTTTAAGGAACTGATCCAAAACAATCCTCCAGTGGACACAAATATATAATCACTATTTGTAACTGTAAATTATATGTAAATATGATTCATGTATACCTGCTTTTCAAAATAAGATTAAATCAAAACCTAACCATTGAGATTGTAGGTGACTAAAATACTTTGTAAGAGAAAAAGGTTGTAAACTTACTAGCAATCATCATCTTGGTTGAGTCATAACCTGTAGAGAAAGCAGTTTAGGTTAGTCTTTTCAGTCATGCTTAGTCATATATTGTTTTATTTCTTAAAATATACATACCTATTGTTGTGACAGGTTGCATTGCTACATTTTCATCAACCAGACAAACCACTGTTGTACATCCTGCCATAAGAGAAATAAAAAATGAGAGAATTTAATTCTCCGATTAGTAACAGGAATTATTAAACTGTTATCATTAAATTATGATATATAGTCCTGTATATACAAAGTTCAGAACCTGTGAAAGTAGTGTAGATAAAGTAATTAAGGAGTAAGCTGTAGGGTCAATGAATCCTCCCTCCTTCCTGCCACTGCTTTAAAGAAATCTCATCTCAAATACATTTAAACTCATTCTCCTCACACAAAAATCAAAGATATTATTTCATAAATAGTAGCAATTAGTAACTACACTCGTAAAATAAACAGCTACAATCTGGTCATAATATTCTCAACAACTATTATAACACAGAATGTAAAACAAATTTCTGTCTTAGCTTGATCAATATCACTCAATGACCCTTAAAGCAAACTGTAAGTATAAAAGTAAAAGTATAAAACTCAATCACGAGACTCGCTAAGCTCCTTTCTAAAAGCCACTCAATCACTGAAAGCCCCTAAGCATTCCTCTTGAGAGGTGAGATAGAGGGCAAGGGAAGAAGTTATATCAAAAGAGTGAAGAAATGGACAGTGTAAATCCTCTACTTACCCCAGATGAGAAGAGCCACAAAATACCCAGAAAATATAAGTGAGAAACTAGGGGCTGTCATTTTGCCTGACAATGCTGTGTCCGTCTTCCCTGGTTGGTAGGGATTACATATCTCAACCTTTCTGCAGGAAGCCTGTATAAAACAACAGGAAGCCTTCATTTCCTAGGTTGGGCGGATTCACACATGGGACAGTGAGCCTCTGATAAGTTTAGAACTACTGGGGTCCACCGGTACACCACCATCACTCTCTCTCTCTTTATCTTCTCTCATCCCACCCTCTGTTTCCAAACAGAAAGAGGAGTTGGGGAGAGCCCCACCCTCTCTTTTCCTCCCACCCTCTCTCTGTCTCTACCTTTGCCTTTGATTAACATTTTTATCAGTACAAGCAATATTTAGATGTCAATAATATTCCTTGACTGAAAGGACTCATGTGGTTATTTGAATATCTGACAATGACTTTTTTATGTTGCATGTTTTGCTTGAATGGAGACTTGGAACAGTAATTCTGCGTTGAGTAAATTTTATCACTAGGAGCCATGAAACCAATGAACAGCAGAAGGTGGTTGTTAATCAAAATCCAAAGGATTTTTACTGCTATTACAGAATATTTTATTCTAACCCAAAAACTCTAAATAATGAAAGTACAAACAAATTGTACATTTACATTTACGAAGAGCACTCAACAGAGTTTATTCCACACATTTTTATCCTTGTCAAATGGTGCCTACCTTACCCACAATACAACTCAATTCAGTTGGAAATTTGGGAGTGTTATGCTAGTGGTGGCTTATGTCATTAGCCTCAAGCAGCTATGAGGGCCTAGATACAGGGTCACTTCTGTCTAATTCCACACCGTCTAATTTTTTAACTGGAGGTCGTCATCTCTAACCAAAGCTGATTCAATTGGCATCGCTCAAGGTAAGATTGAGGTAAGATTTTGCACAGCTCCTGCCACAAAAGACGATAAAACTATATTCACATATGAAGTGGTACTCCCCAAGACCCGTAAACAGACTTTCACATGTAACATTGTTGCAGTTCCTCTTTAATATGTCGTCATTGGAGGCTAAATCTTCCAGATTATGGATTTGTGTTTTTGTTGTTGCATGAGATTTACTTGAGCACTTGTGGTATGTTTCTTTGTATCTGTGTTACACCATCAGAGCTGATAACAAGCACCACCACCCACCTCCTCTGACTTTGACGTCACACTGAGCTTCTGTGCTAAAAAGGGGCTGCAGGGATCTCCAGTATGAAACTGACGCACTCATCCACGTCACTGAAGGATGAGTGCTCTTTCTCAGTTCCTTGGTTTGGGAGAAAGCCAGGTACTGTAGCTCAGGGCCAAAGTTGCTTCCACTTTTCATTTCAGTTTAAGGAGGCCTCTCTTTTTGACTTATAACTACATTACTTTTAAAAATCCCACAAAGAGATACTTAAATACATCTGAATCAAACTTTCAGTGTGAGTGAAGTTTAATAGATGAATGGATTGGCCTGCGAGGAGGAGCTTACTACATTTCAAATGTTTTGTTGAGGGAAGACATAGTGAAAGTTTACTTGGCAAATGCTTTTACATCTGTCAGTTTTAAATGACTTCAGAGTATTTCCTCAGCTACTTTGTGAATCTTTTAATCTCCAAGCCTTTGTCACAGATCATAAAAGGTGCAGCATATCTGAAGACACAAGTCCCTCAATGAGAGGTGCCAAGATCAACACACACAGTTTACATTGCAAGGAATTAAAAACGTCCTGCTGATAAGGGCCTCACTCCCAAAGCTTATCTTCCTATGAAAGTTTGCTTGTTTGACAGCTCAGTATAAACATGGCACGAGCTATTTCAAATACCACTGAAGGCACGCCAAGCCAGCTGCATTATCTGAGATACTTCCGCTCCCTGAATGCATAATTAATAACCAGGAATGCATGACATTAGCAGAGAGCAGAAAGGATCAACAGCAGCACAGCAAGGCACTCATGTTGGTTTAGCGTAATATCAGACCAAACCATGCCAAGCCAGGTTTCTTTATCCAGGTTAGAGGTGTATGTTTGAGCACACGTTGTGTCATGGGATGAAAAGTAGCTAAACAGTGCCATCTTGTGTGTCAAACAAGTAGCAATTTTGTGATTTCATTTAATCCATTATGGGTTGTTGTTTTTTTTGAAGAAATTCACCAGAAAATAAATCAATTGTAAATAAATATTCACTGAATAATAAGCACTTAAATTTGAACTTGTGAGATACGAAGCAGGGTTACATTTGACAGTATAGTTTACATGTATGTCTAAACTGATATTTGACTTCACAAAATTGACAACACACAATTATAAATATGTGAATAAAGAGTCAGTGAAACAGTCGTGAGAAATGACATTCACTCTATTGATGAAAATATTGTAGCTCAAACACCCTTAGAATTATTGAGGATTTTTTTCTCTATGAGTTAGAAAACTAAATATCAGATGTTTTCCTAACATCCTGAATTCCAATGTCTGTGAAACAGAGAGGTTTCTGTTAGAATATCTATTGTGAGTTGTCAGAAATTGATGGGTATTCAATGATAACATGCATCATTTTGGTTATATATAAATAGCTTTTGTGTATGTTGCTTCCTGAAGTTTAAAAGATAAGTGTTCCCTGCTTCTCCAAAGACTGTAAATGAAATGCTGACCTATTACATCATTACAACTAAGGTGAGGTTTACAGTAGGTACACTAACAAGTCCGGATAAGAAAATTAACCTAATTTGGATGGGAGACATTAACCAGCAGGTGATGAGTTTAAAGTCACCTCACAAATCTGCTCTCACCTACACATTTTTACAGTTGATGTAATGCATCTGTAACACAAGCCAAGTGAGGGTAAAGGCTATAACACATGCTCTAAATCAATAATAATCACAATATGCTCCTCTGATCTCACTCTACCACCAATTTGCATGTGGTTTGTTAAAGGATGTGACGTTGGTGAACTTTCCACCACGGACAAGGTATGTTTCATCACCATCTGTGTAAACATTTTAAAATCTGTTTTATATTTACAGTAATTGTTGATATAGGATGTCGTTTAAGGATTGCTTTGTAAATTGTGGCTTTAAATGATGCTGCTCCTTCCACTCATCAGGTTGGTCATTACCACAAAAATGTTTTCCACTGAAGTTAGGATTTTACGTGGAGTACGTGACAGCATCAGTGGCCCGAGGTCCGTCATCCACCCCTCTCTCTCTCTCTCTCTCTCTCTCTCTCTCTCTCCCAAAACAGAGGCTAAAATGCGTTGAGCTCCCCCTGGAGGTGGAGTGCAGAACAACAGCTGAACTGTTACCCATCCGATAGAACTCCACTGTAGGAGTTTTCAACTATTGATCCTTTTAAATTCTTTCTTTGAGACACTTTATTTTGTCTACACAACCTGCGCAACCGGGGTAATTATTACTATTATCTAAATATGTTTTCCACTTGTGTGTGCCGTCTATTTTATTTGCTATTTCAAAAATCACTATAATATTCCTGCGAGATTGCTTCATTTATTTATTTTACACATTAACACGCCGATCAAAACCCGTATGAGTGTTGTGCCCTCACGCATTTAGATGGCGATCTAGCACTCTGGACAGTTGCATCAGTTCCTGTGTGTGCGTGTAAATGGCTGTGCCGTGGCTGCTCCACGCTACTTTTTATTCCCAGGACGCAGAATAGTCATAAATCCTCCTCTGCTAGGAAAGGCTGTGATCATAATAAAGACGTCACCCTCCTGCTCGGGTTGGCTCAAACCAAGCCAAGTGCGCAGCTATTTGTAAGCTACAACAACAACAACCTCCAGCACCATGCCCATGGATAACGTAGGGATTTCTCTGAGATCCCCTCGCCGTGCGAAGACGATATCTGCGTCAGATCCATAGCAAAGACTGCCTTTAATTGCTCCGGATCTCTCTACTAGAAAAAAAAAAAACAGACAGGGACTTGATCGCGTTGCGGGCTCCTGTCGCAACAAATAGGACGCAAGACTTGGATTTTGAAGGTATTTAACAACTGCGACACTGGATGTAGATGTAGACGTGCACACGCGTCCGCTACAATAACGTGCTGTCATTGTGGTGCTCGGTCGCACGTCTTTAAAGTCTTCCACATTTAAATGGATACTGTGTAGCTACGAGGCTGCAGCTACAGGACGTAGCGCACTTCATAGCTGTGGCTGAAACGTGTGCACGACTCATAGTCCAGGAAAAAAATGCACTAGAGCAGTTTCTCGAGCTCAGTTTTGGCTTTGTACTTATTTCTGATCATGATTTAGCTCAGACAGGGAAGTTGATGTTCACTAATGTGATTATGAAACACAGGAAAACTGTACTACGCACTTTTCTGCTCCGCTTCATATTGCTTTTCTGAAGAGGCACGCCCACTCCTGAGCAATGTGCATTCCCCGTGCTGTAAAATTAATAGAGACTTTAATTATTTGTGTACACATGATGAGTACGTTCGTTCATTATTTGGTGTGTGGCCATCCATGATTAAAAAAGGACCAGCGGCAGTCTCGCCCTAAGCAGTTTAAAGCACCCGTGAGGAAGACATTTTTTTACATTTAATGTCAGTTTTGTTTTGCCAACACAGGGGGGCACTCTTCCAGAGACTTCCAGTAAGGGTGAATGGGGAAGTTTTATGTCTGTGAGAGGCAGAGGGAGAGAGCATGATGTGCTTAGTGTATAGTAATAAAGGGATTGTATGCATATCCCACCTAAACAATCAGCTATGAGCATACTAATACTTAATAGCTGTTTTACTGAGAATTAGCCTATTGTGATGGAACAGGTGATGCAAACAGTGATAACTTCACTAAACGCTCACTATTGAGTCCCACATACACTTTGTAAAGCCTTGTAAGAATATAACTAAGAAAAACTAATATTTTTCCAACAATCATTGTTCTGAAAGTGTTCTCTTGCACTATTTAAACACCTTTTGGGGATATAAAAGCTTAAGTTGATAACAGTATCTACCTTGTCTTTTTAAAGAGTCATGGAAGAAACAGCTTCTGCAGCTCCAGCCCCCACCACCGGTGCTGCTGCACCAACCCCAAGACCTCAGCCTTTCACCTTTGCACCCACCCGCAGTCTGCTAGAGTGGAGACGGAGGGTCAAGTCTGAGTATATGCGCCTTCGCCAGTTGAAACGCCTTAAAAAAGCAGAGGAGGTTAAGGTGGGTCAATTTGATTATTGACAGTTCTGCCTGTGGTTCTATTTACGCATGTGTACTGTATGCATGGTGTGGGAGACTTACAGTATGTGTGACATGCTCTTTGTTCTGTTTTGTTTCTAGACCTTGTTCATGTCCAACAGGCAAAAGATTGAGCAGCAGACAAATCTCCTGAATGCAGAGTGGTCCCGACTCAGGATTCAGTCCATCCCTCTGTCAACTTCTAGTGGAGCTCTACCCAGCAAGAAGGTGTGTGTGTGTGTGTGTGTGTGTGTGTGTGTGTGTGTGTGTGAGAGAGAGAGAGAGAGAGAGAGAGAGAGAGAGAGAGAGAGAGAGAGAGGATTATTTTACTCTAAAGTGAGTAAAATAACAGCCACTGCAATAACTTTACATACCATCCCACCTGCATTGTCCTGCTCTGTCTTTACATTCCTGCTTTGTTAGTAATCCAATCTGTTAATATTGTGTGGATGTGCCGTGAGAAAACTCCTCATGTCCATCATGTAGATTACTCTTCTCCAGCACCAGTGTTCTGCTCTGATTCCCACCTGGCAGTCAGGTGTTACTAAAATATCTCAGGACATAGCTCTCTGCCAGAAATGGATCATATGGCAGCCTAAAAGTGGTCTCTGGCCATGCGGGAACAAGTGAGGGCATGTCAGCATGTGTCTCTTCCCACATGCTGTCAGGATCCCACTTTATTGTGTTTTCTGGGTTTACTTTCGCTGTTGGGGGTCAAGCAGCATGTGGATCCGATTATATAGTTATAAAATAATCCAGTAATGCTGAGGACTGTTCTATTGTCTTGTTAACCCCAACCCACCTCTGGTTTTCTTACAGATGTGTTCAGTGGAGTTTGGCTTCCCAGGATTCAAAGCTCAAGCCATTGCCATGAGACCATTGTCAACAGTGGCAGGAATCCCCTTCATGTACTCCTGGTCACCTCTCCAGCACAATTTCATGGTATGAAACAAACCACATTGTGTTGTGTGTGATGCAGTTTAAGTGTTATTACAACTGATTCCAATTTTGAAAAATTTGTATGTGTTCAATGGATGTGGATATCCCCCAGTTGGATGAAATCAAGAACACATCATCAAAATATTTTTTTCCCCAGTCCATTTGTGTACATTTATTGGGCTGAGAAATGTCCAGAGGCAGCACCATGGGAACATTTTGTGAAATATTGGCTATTAACAGGTCAGTTTAGTTACTTTGACATGTTTGGTCCTTAAAAGCATCACAGGTAGTCGTGTGACATGCAGCATCTGCTGGTTGCGCACCTGTCTTGACAGGGGTTTGTGTTTTTCAGGTGGAGGATGAGACATTCCTTCACAACATCCCATATATGGGCGATGAGGTGCTGGAACAGGACGAGGCCTTCCTGGAGGAACTCATCGACAACTACGATGGTGTCCATGGGGACAGAGGTGTGTGTTGAATGCACGGTCTAGTTAGGATTACTGCATAAATCTGTACTGTACATCACTGCAACATTCACTTGATTATATGCTGATGATGCAGATGATGTCTTCATTTAGCATTTCTGGAAGCCTATGGAAAAGAGAAATATTTAAGCCATTGGCACTTAGCTCTGACATGTCAACTTTGTCCCAGAGGGCGGATTTATCAGTGACGAGGTCTTTAAAGAGCTGGTGGAGGCCTTGAGCCAGTACTCTGACCACGAAGAGGAGGAAGAGGAGGAAGCAACAGCAGCGCCAGAGGTGACGGGAAAGAAGGAGGACGAGAGAGTGATGAGGAGGAGCTCAGTGGAGGGCTCAGAAGAGACCAAATCTGGTACTGTGGCATTCATCAAGAGAAAGAGGAGGAGCACTACTGAGGGTGAGCAAGTCGTCAGCTGTGTGTTTGTGTGTTCAGACTTTGCCATGTGAGAGAACAAGAGGGCTGCAGCATGAACAAGGCTCGTACTGTTCCTGTCATTACACTGTACAGCTGCCACAAGGTCGCCCTGCCACAGCGGCTCTTGCACAGGCATTGTTTACTTTAAAGCTGCCCCTGTGTCCCTGCATGTGTGAGGGAACCTGTTTGTCCATGACACTGATATGGCCCGGCTCTAATTACGGAACTTAATGACCTCTCGTACCAGGCTTTATGGGAAACTAGGCTGTGCACACCTGGCTACACAGTCATTCAGCTACTGGTACACAAACCATCCATGGATGAGGGTCCATGAATAAAAAAAGAAAAAGAATGAACAAAACTACACTGTTTGTATAACTTCACGATTTTCACAGAGAATTGTTTTCAGAACATGTTATTACTAACTGGCCTTGGGCACTGGGAAAACTTCTGTACCATTGCAAAAGAACACATTGCATAAGCTTTATTTGTGAATCTGTATCAAAACCTGATGTGTGGACAAAGCTCAGTTATTTGTATAACCAACTCTGTTTCTCTGTTGTCTCCCAAAGTGAGGGACTTGTCCAGCAGCAAAAAGGCCCCCAGCGATAAGATATTTACAGCCATCGCCTCAATGTTCCCTTACAAGGGCACCACGGAGGAGCTGAAGGAAAAGTAAGAAATGTGCAGTGAAAGTGGGGATCTATGTGCACAATGCTGAACAGGCCGTTGCTTAGTGTTCACCATGGAGACACAAGCTGTCAGGGAGGAAAGTAATAATGGTGGCTCCCTCTCAGGCTCTCTGACTCAAAGGAGCAGTTGCCATCAGCATCTGAAAGAGCTTTACTGAGAAAGAAATATCTACAGTCACCCAGCACCAACGTCAAATGAGCATACTAATACTGGGGCAAAAGAACTGTACAGAGGTGATATATTATTATTAAGAGTCGCCCTGTCACCTTTACAGGTACAAGGACCTATTGGAGCCCCCCAGCCCGGTGAAGCTGCCCCCCCTTTGCACCCCGAACTTGGACGGCCCTTTCGCTAAGTCTGTGCAGCGGGAGCAGTCATTACACTCCTTCCACACGCTCTTCTGCAGACGTTGCTTCAAATACGACTGTTTCCTCCATCGTAATGGCTTTATTATCATTATTATTATTACTTGCTCATTTTAGTTTAGGTTTTTTTGATTTCTTGTGAAATTGTGATAAGTATATTATGATTATACCATGACTTCAAAACTCTTATAGTGCTTGGGTGTTTTATTTACTTATTTGTATACAGTTGCAAGCAAATAATTACCTGATGTACAACATAGAGTCAAAATATGTTTGTTTGCGTTCATAAAGCTTTCCATGCTACACCCAATGTTTACAAGAGGAAAAGTAAGGAGATGCGCATGGAGACTGAACCATGTGGTGTAGACTGCTTCCTGTTACAGGTATGCCAAGCTTACAGTATTTAACCTGTTCTTGCAGTCTATATGCTGTAGTGCATTATATATTTTGTTGTTTACTCTTTGTTGTTCTCCCCCCCCCTTGCTCCTCTGTAGAAAGGGGCTAAAGAGTTTGTGGATCAGAATATGTTACGATCAAAGAGGTCTCGGAGGCGCCGAAGGCAGCAGCGTCCCACCAGTTCCAGTTGTCCTGGACCGTCTGGATCTGCTGAGGAAAGCAAACAGGGCGACAGTGACCATGAAACCACCTCCTCTTCAGGTGGGAGTCTGAGCTCACAGAAACTCGGTTTGGAGCTGCTTTTCAAACCACAAGGTGCTTTGTCTACTCTAGATAGGATGGCTAAGGGAGTTTTTGAAAAGGTTCAGTTTATCTATAAGTTTCTTATTTTGTAGTTTTTATTTATTTATTTATTTCAAATGTAGTGGCTGTCTAGTTTACAGACAGTTAGTTCAATGTGTTCGTGAGTCATTTTCTGACTGAGTAGTTGCATCATTTACCATAACCTTCCCCAAATCCCTCCCTTACTGGAAGGCTGTCTGCCCTGCCTGACTGGAGCCCTTCAGAAAAGTGAAATTTGGCTGAAGATGATAGCTTTCAAGTTATATCCTGCTCTCACCGCTGTCTCCCCTTTTCCATCTCCTCTCAATATCAGCTCTCTCTTGCCAAGCAAAATAAAGCAGCCATTAGTTTTGCATGCTTCAGCCCAAACATAAACACTTTGTTCCCTCCCCCCTCCTCCTACTGTGTTTTTCCTTTTTTTTTTTATTTCTGTTGACATCTTCATGTGGAGAGCAGCAGGAGGGAAATAAGAGCTTTCTCCGCTAGCTCTTTGTCATCCTCTCCTCCCCTGGAGCTCTCAGGTTGTTGTTCATCACCATCAGTGCCTCACTGGAAGTCTCTGTTAGTTTTGGAAACCACTCGTGCTCAGCCAGTGACTCAGCAGACTCTCCTGCACGTGTTGAGATAATGTGGAAAAAACAGATTGTTAAGCAGATTAATAAAGATACTCAGTGCTGGAGCATGTGGCTACAGCAATGCTGCATTCAGCCTGTTGCCAAGCAACATTTGGCTCTCTGCCTTGAGCTGTGGGTGTATGAGCATCAGTCTTGAATATCCAAAAAGCTAAATCAAAGCTCATGGTCCCTTGTGTATGTGTGTATGCATGTACATGCAGATACACAAAAATGGCACCCAGAAATAGCTATGTGTGTGTCAACGTAAGGTTAAATTATGATAACTTGTGTGTGTGCAGATAAATGAAAAGCTGTCAAAAACCTTTTGCCAAGTAATATAAAATGTGTGCAGCTGCAGTTGTGTAGATTGAAACAAACTTTCTGCCAAGAGTAGTTAGTCAGTGATACTGAGGTGTTTTTCTTTTTGTGTGTGTGTGTGTGTGTGTGTGTGTGTGTGTGTGTAACAGAGGGGAATTCGCGGAGCCAGACTCCCACCAAGCTGCATCCAGGGGATGATGACGGAGCGCAGCAGGCGTGCTGTGTGGTCCAGTGGAGCGGGGCAGAGGAGTCACTGTTCAGGGTGCTACACGGCACATACTTCAACAACTTCTGCTCCATCGCTCGCCTCATCGGTACAAAGAACTGCAAGGAGGTGAAACGTCCACACACTTAACAGTTTTCCCATCTCAGCATGTTTCCTCTGGCACCATAAGCAGAAGATGCTGTGCTAACTTAGCTGTATTAATTCACTACGAAAACATTTTAATGTGCTCTTACTCAATAATAATGATTGATGGTAAGCACATAGCAAATTGTGGCTTAGACCTAAACAAATTTTAAAGGACCAGTGTATAGGATTCATTGGCATCTAGCAGCATACTGCAGATTGCAATTATTTGAATGCAACTCAGCCTTCCAAGTATGTAGGAGAAGCTATGGTGGCTGTGAAAATTAGGCCCTATCTAGCGTCAGTGTTTGGTTTGTCCGTTCTGGGCTACAGTAGAAACACAATGGTTCAGCCTCCATGGAAGAGGACTTGCTTTTAAAAAAAAGGCTCATTCTATGGCAACAAAAACAAAACAATTCTTATTTTCAGGTGATTATACACTAATGAAACACATTTATAAGTATTATATTGCATTTATGCCAATAGATCCTCCTAAATGTTACACACTGGACCTTTAAAAGAGTACGATGGACAGTTTCCACATGTTCTTCTTCCTTGTCAAAATCTGTTGCCTTCATTAACTACAATGCAAGTGTTATGCTAGTAGTGGCTAATGGAGCTGCTAACCTCAAGCAGAGATGAGGGGCGTGAATACAGATAGTGCTTGCAGCACTATGAGAGAGAGTGGGCCCCCTTCAACAATGTGTTGGGTGTAGAACAGGCCTTTGTGAGTGTTTCAAGTGACCACCTCAGAAATAAGCCTGTTTTCAAAGAAAAACTAAAATTGGTACCAATTGCTTACTATGCCCTCAAAAAAGTTAACCCATCTCCATCATGATTTTGCCCTCAAGACCAGCAAACAGATTTTGATGTGTAAAATAGGATAACTTCCCCTTTAAAAGGCCAGATGGTGGAATGAGGAAAAGGCTGGAAATAGATGTAACAATTCTGAACACAGAGAAGAGAAAAGTAACACACATAAAACAAGGCCATGAAAAGGGCATGGTGACAAAAAGGAAATAGAAGCAAGACAATTATTTATGAGAAATTAGGTCTTAATTTTAGAGACATAGCACTAAAAGTAAAATTAAGCAATTGTGAGTTGTTAGCTGTATCATCTGTTGTTTACTAGATATATGAGCCATGAAATCTAGTTTTAAATGTTACATTTTTAACTTAATAACTTTTTTGAACTAACTTACTTGAAACTTTCGGAAAGTGATGCATAGTTGTTTTGAAATGATGTAGACAACATACTTTTGTAGCTGATTTCTATTGCGTTTGCGTCAGTTTGAGGGTAACAGCACATCCATCCTGTGCCTGCGGTTTTATGGTGTGGATAATTGGGCTGACTACAGAGAGAATGGCATGTGGCACCATAAACGGGGATGCTTACCAGATGTGACGTCTCTCATATTCTCTCATGATGCCGTCGTTCAGGCTTAGATATTCCGAGACTTATGTCAACTGAGCGTCATGTAGGCTGTGCATAAGAAGAACTGTAGAAAAAATATTACAACTTCTTAATTAGATTACTTTTGAGCGCAAAACACACAGTAAAGAAAAGGTAAAACAAATCTTGGTATAATATCAATACAGCCTTGCCCGTTTACACCCGACCCTTGTAGCGCCAGACCAGCCCAAAGTCAGTATTGGTCTGTCACGGCCCTGCTGGCATCCAGAGGGCCCCGCCCATTGCTTAACTGAGTGGAAATGCTGAAACCAGCTGCATCATTATGTATGTCTGTGTCCTAGGGAAGAGGCCAAATCTGGGTTTTGGCAGCCAGAAGTGGGAGAGAGAGAGAGAGAGAGAGAGAGAGAGAGAGAGAGAGAGAGTGTGTGTGTGTGTGTGTGTGTGTGTGTGTGTGTGTGTGTGTGTGTGTGTGTGTGTGTGTGTGGCCTCTGCAGTCGAGTTTTGATAGCAGAGGATGGAGGGGGCAGGATGTTCTGTGGCGTAATTGCGGCAATGTGCTTTTCAGCTTGAGCGACAAAACATTACACAACATATTTATAATGAAGAAAACAGAATTTCTTCACAGTAGTGTGCATTTGTGATGTATTAGCAGGATGTGTTGTTCATGACATTTTCATTACCCACAGGTGTACGAGTTTGCAGTGAAGGAGGTCCTGATCCATCGTGTTCCTTGTGTTGATGGAGGCATCTCGCCCCAGAAGAAGAAAAGGAAACACAGGCATGATATCGCCAGTTATTCTCCCTCTCTTGCCCACCCTTTGAGTGATGGAAACATGATAATAACATGGCACTCAGTAAAACTTCCCTGAATAGATAAAGGTTCAAATAAATAAATAAATACAGTCATGTGTGTATTCTGCACTGCCATTTGTATTAAGACTACATTTGGTCTTCCTGTCACATATATAATTTTGTCACTTGAAAGTGACTAAACGCAAGTAAACATTCAAACTGTAGCTTCCTCTTGGGTGCATGCTTACATCTGGCACCTGGTTACTGTGAGTCCACACCCTGCATGCTGTTATTGGCTGGGGACTACACACCCACAGCCCAAAGGTTGACGCCTTGAAACGAACAACGAAAATACTTGCATAGAGCAGGATACTCTGCCGATACAGACGCTGCCACTTCCATTGGGTCATTAGTGATGACTGAGAAGGATTATTTGTGTTTAAGTCTATACATAGTTTTTGTAACTGAATAGGTGTTGATCAGTTTCAAGTTAGAGAGTAAACTCTGTCGTGTTTTTTTAATGTGGCAGGTTATGGGCAAAGATTCAGCTAAAGAAAGGTATGTTCATCTTAAAATTAAAATGTCACCGCATGACTACACTATACTCTCTGAAATACAACACAGCTTACTGTGCCAGTCTGAGGGCTTTGTCCTCTGTTGCTCCAGATAACTCATCCAATCAGGTGTACAACTACCAGCCATGTGATCACCCCAACCATCCATGCGACAGCTCCTGCCCGTGTGTGATGACCCAGAATTTCTGTGAGAAGTTCTGCCAGTGCGAGCACGAGTGTGAGTGTCACCTTTCTTACTCACCTGTGAGACCACACTCTACTGTGTGCTTTTTCTTTCTTACAAAAGCAAAAACACATAAGAAGCTTGCTCTGCCTTGTGATGTTAAAAGAAAAAATTGTTTGTCATCACCACATTTTCCACTGAAAGCTCAGTAGCCTCAAAGCCTTATTGCCAGGCCACAATAGAGCAGGGCAGCAGAATGTAAAACGATTCTGCAGTATTCTGGCAGCGGTCAGAGGAGAAACTGTCCTCTGGCGGGGATAGGTGGGTGTCTGTTTTATACAGATCTGCGTTTACAAAGAGGCATTTGCTGCAGCAGCAATGACCCAGAACTGTGTTTTCCGAAATGGCCACATGGTGGAGGAATGCATTTTGTATTTTACCCTCTGGAGAGTTTACAAAAGAGAAAGAGGATAAGACAAAGTAAACATTTTGCTATTGTTTGGAAAAGATGGTTTTGCCTCATTTGTTCATCCGTTGTGGTTCAGTCACCTTCTTTTCCCCCTCCTCCTCACCCGACTGTTGCCTCGCCTTTTCCCGTAGCAGAGAAGAGCCGGGGCCAAACAGGAAGCAGCCCCCGGTTGCACATGTGTGTGCTCTAAAGACTTGGAGAGAAATCAAAGGGATGTGACAGGCTCTGTGCCTGATATACAACACCATCTCCAGCATCAGTATGAGTCAGACAGCTCCAGCTAAACAATGCTTGATGATACAGACACATAAAACCCACACAAGCTTGGAATGGGAGGTTAAAACACAACGACAGAGAAGACAAATGCTGCCTGGAGCTCTTGTTATGGACAGTTTTCCCCAAGCAGAGGCTGCTGGAAAGACATTTCGGTTATTCTTGCCTGATCCAACCGTTCATCTGCCCGGAGGGTGTTATGTTACACCCTGCAAAATTGTATTTCAGCATATCTGCCAGCAGAGGTCCCTGACAGATGAGCTTCTCAGCATTACTCGGCCATTGAGCTGCTGTGCTGCAACAGCATTTTGAAATGGAATTATTTATCAAATCATATAGTGTGTCTGCCAAGTCATATAACGTATTACCTTTCTGCATTGCTGCATGCAGTTTTCTCATGAATGTTCTCAGCATGTCCCCTTTCAGAGTAGCTTTGTGTCTAAATGTTTTCCAGGCCAGAACCGCTTCCCAGGCTGCAGGTGTAAGACACAGTGCAACACTAAACAGTGTCCCTGCTACCTAGCCGTAAGGGAGTGTGACCCAGATCTGTGCATGACCTGCGGTGCTGCAGACCACTGGGACACCAAAGGGGTCTCCTGCAAGAACTGCAGTATCCAGAGAGGCCTAAAGAAGGTACACAAGGACACTTGAAGGTCTAAATGGTTAAATGTTTCAAATCTGATTTTCTGTCATTCTGGAGACAAGTTAGTGGTGTTTAGATCACTCTTATGACTTGTGGTGTCCTAACCTACATCTGACTTCTCTCAGCACCTGCTTTTGGCTCCATCAGATGTTGCCGGGTGGGGCACCTTCATCAAAGAACCTGTTCAGAAGAACGAGTTCATTTCTGAATACTGTGGAGAGGCAAGTCCATGTAGTTCAGTCAGATTTAAATATTTTTATTTATAAACTCTCAACTTGATTGAAGTTTTATACTTAGAGTGTTTATTATTCCTGTGTGTGTGTGTGTATGCACAGCTGATCTCCCAGGATGAGGCAGACCGACGTGGAAGGATCTATGACAAATACATGTCTAGCTTTCTTTTCAACTTGAACAATGGCAAGTATTCCCCAATCCTCCTCTGGCCATAAACATTCCACCATTACAGGATGTTGATCCTTAATACACTCTTTGTCTCTCAGCAGACTTTGTTGTGGATGCCACGCGAAAGGGGAACAAAATCCGCTTTGCAAATCATTCAGTTAATCCTAACTGCTACGCAAAAGGTAAGTCAAAAGTGAATTTAGATCATTTCTGTGTGATGAAAGTAGCCTTGTGTTAGCTGATGTTCATGTGTGCCATTGCAGTGGTAATGGTGAATGGAGACCATCGCATTGGAATCTTTGCCAAACGAGCTATTCTGCAAGGAGAGGAGCTCTTCTTTGACTACAGGTAGAGTCACAGGCCTTTTTGTGACTCTCCATCAGCTTCAAAGTAAAAAAAAAAAAGAACAAAGGCTGCTCTGTATTGTGACTGAATTACTGGTTTCTGCAGATCCTGTATACAAACTAAGACTCTTTTACTTCCTCCCACAGATACAGCCAAGCCGATGCCCTCAAATATGTGGGGATAGAGAGGGAGGTAGACATGACTTAACTATACCTGCTGCCTACCTCCATAACCTGTCCCAAACTCCTCAGCCACCCACTAATGCTTCTGTCCCTCTCTGCAGCATCACATCTAGCTGACGAGTTTCTATGAACAGGCGCTGTCTCTACCCTCTCTGCTGCATTTCCAAAAATAGAAAGTCCCTCCCTGCTGTTTGCAGGTGCTCCTGCTCTGCAGACACTACCACCTCCCTCAGTGACAGCCGTCAACTCTCCCCACCCACCTATCTGCAAGACTGTATACGCCAAGCTTATGAAACTAAACTATTTAAAGTGGAAATACTATTAATTCGTATCGCTTACTGCACCAAGAGGATCACGTTTTGTTTGTTTTTTTTGGTTCCATCTTTTCAAAGCAAAAAGGCCGCGATTACCCATCATACTGTGTGTTACTCTCTCAGCAGTTTCATTACTGTACTTATAGACCGGCTTTTGTTTGACCTCTCAATACGTAACGCAAGCTTTTACATCATACCTTATGATGATCAGTGAAATGCATGTACTGTCTCTTGGATAAACAAACCATTAAACATGTTAGCCACAGCATTAGCTTCAGTCAGCTGCTGCTCTGTGCAGTCACCCAGTATTGTAGTGTGATGTCACACAATGCCTGTTCTTCAGAAAACTTTTGAGGAACAGGTAGGTTTGACAGCTTGGTTTGTTCTTCTATGAACCTTTTCAGCGGCTAGCCACCACCACATCTTTATGGCAAAATAAGTTATTGTGCATTTATATAATTGTTCTGCAAAATAGGCAACCAGACAAGAAACCGACTGACTGAATGTAATCTGTAGATGATGGTGAAGAGATCTCATCCCTCTTTTCATTTTACACATTAATCCATTCTATTGGTACTCTGAGCATTGTACATGCACATCAAACATTTCATCATCATGTTTAAATGATCTTGTAGCCTTCACACATTGTGAGGGAAAGAATAAATTAATAACTAGTCACACAGTAAATGTCTTCCTTTCAAAAAACATGTAAGTGCCAAATGATTCCACACAGAAAAAAGCTGAAACAGTGTGGATGTGTTGCATAATTAACAGAGGTGTGTTAAAGGTAACCTTTACAAGGTTCCAACCATGGGAAAAGCAAAATTATCAGTGTTTGACCAAATATTAAAGTCCCCCACATGTGAATGTAAGATATCATTTACCATCTTTTCTTATTTTTTTTTATATGTCCAGATTTGTTATTCACTCTGTTTTTCATTTATAAAACATTAAAGCCCACTTTGAAATGAGATCTTTCTCAATAGAGATGAACAAAATGGAGTTTACTGCTATGTACAGTGTATGCCTATAAAAATAAAAGTTTAACTTTATACATTAAAACATGCTTGTCTAGTCCTTAACTGTCATTGTGCAAAAATCATCTCATCCAAAATAACACAAACAATAATGTAGCTTGAATTTCCTTCAAGCTTCTTTTATTGAGGTGACAGTTTGGCTTTGCCTTGATTTACACAGTAATGGTCATTTACAGTGAAAGTATTACGAAACAAAATCGAGCGTACAGAAGAACAGAAAAAATCTTAAATTTCAGTGTGATCACAAACACAACTGTAATGATCATTTCTGGTACCTGTTGCAGAAGGATTCAGTTTGAAGGTGCAAAGAAGTCCAACCTGGTCCAATCTGCCAACTCCTCACTCTGGTGCTTTATCAACTGATTTCATACATGATATCACTGTTGACAGGGCATCTGCATTTTTATATAAAGTATGAAATAGTCTTAGGGCCTTTAATGGAATTAAAAGCTTTAAAATCAGTGTTTATAAAATTCAATGTCTGCAAATCATGACTTTTTACTAACCACAATTTAAGTTTATGCCCCCTTAAATATGTTTTCATTTTTACTTTATTTCTTAAATTAATCTTAGATTAACACCTTTTGTAAAATTAGCAGATACCCTGTCCCAGCCAACAACATCCTGCTGACCTACTCCCTCTACTGGCAATTTTATCTTAATCCCTATTCACACCCTTCCCTGCATTATTAGGATGCATTATTAGGATGCTGGATGGACACTTCAGGAATAGTACTTGTAATCTCCTTTACAGACACCTGATAACTGAACACGGAGGAGCCACTCTGAGCTACATCCAGGCCTTGTTTCTGTCTCACTGTACTACTGTTGGTGCACTACAATAAGTGAGTTGGATAGTTGGCATCAGTGCACTTTTGTTTTTTAATGAAAGTCATTATTTAACGTCAGTAGGTTCTATCTTGGTGGGCAAACTATGAATACACAAACATCTAAACATCCAGTCAGTCACACATACACACGCTCCAGGGACCACGCATGATTAACTAGTGAGTGGCAATGAAGTGACACTGCTAGGTGTTTATAGTCCATTTACCAATGAATACAGTGAGGTGTATACATTTATAATATACATAAGTCGACTCTTTCCTAATAGGCAACAAAGCATATTTAACCCAAGTTTAGTTGCTTGGGCCTAATATGAACTTTGAGTGGTGATTGTCCATTTAACAAAAAGACAAACTTTCTTTGTGTCAATCACAAACTCACAGTTTCACTCTGCTCACTTTTCATTATCATTCATCTGATCACAGCATTCCTAAAAATATAGCCTGTAAATGCCAGTTTTGGCCAAATCTGTACATTTTCATACATTATTAGCAAGTCGACCCTTTACAGTAATTGCAATTTTTACATCTACTGTACATTCTTTCACTGTACAATTTCGCACAGTTTTGCCCATCTGTAATGGAAGAAACCAACAATGTTGAGTTTTGGAGGTGTATTAGTGCTACAGAGAACAAGTACTGTACTATCTTTATCCTGAGCATTCTTAAAAGCTACCATGAGTAATTTTACTTTCAGTGCTAAAGCAGCCTACAATGAAAACATCAGAGCAAGTCTTCACTGTAGTGTCCGCTCATACATTACAGAGTCAGAGGATTTACATTCAAAGTACTCCATTTAACTGTTTCTAACTTGTTTTTTATAAACCATAGGGGAAAAAAGTCGCTTAACACATTATTCGTATATTCACGTATACACTCATTACATCCTACTTGCTATTGTGCATCTGCAAAGTAAACTGAGACATTAACATCATTGGTGGCTGAAAGAAGCTCATATTATTGCATGTTACTGCAAAGTGCGCTCATGCTCTACAAATGCATAGCTAATATGTTGCAAATTTCCCATTTTTTTCACATACACAATAGTGCTTTAGTATCAAGGAGAGCTGCAGTGAGTGATGGTAGCCCTAAGCCTTGGTCGCACACATATCAAATGAAATTTCGTCTTAAGACAGGAGGAAATTTCATCAGACTATAGATAGAATTTTCAAACTTTCCACTGAAAGCAGCTAAACAAGCAGCAGCAGTGATGAGTGTGGTCAGCTACTGTCCTACAGCATTATGCAAAAATATTCAAGCAGTATGAGTTAGAAGTAAAATATTAGCATTTACACTCTTGTGGTCCTCTGTACATATGTTATTGTGTGTGTATACTGTGTTTATATGTATGCTTCTCCACATGGCCATAGAGAGCAGCTGCTTCCTGAACAGTGTTTATTATCGGTGGTGAAAGGATTGTGAAGACTTCTTTTATTCTTCTTTTGTAATACTGCTGTTAGAAATGTCCCCCAAGTCAAATACTCTGTAGCACCAAGCTATTGGCAGCTTGACCATAATATAAGCAACCAGAAGTAAGACAGAAGGAATGAGAACTTGGATATCTAGGTCACCCTGTCCCTGGCGAGCTTCATCACCTCAACTTTTGTTTTGAATCTGCAGTACACCAACAGACTGTTAGCTTTCACACTTAAAGGTACATATCATCACACTCTCATTTCCCCCATAGTTGAGAATGTGTTAGGAATCTGAGCATACTGTGATTGGCAAAGCTGCTATCTACTGACACTATGGCAATTCTGAACCACTTACATGTGCCATTCTGTATAGGTAATGCACTGGTATAGGCTGCAATACAACAAATATAAGCGTATATACCTTTTACAATCTTTATATTTATCATCTCAAAGCTCCATGCTTGTCAGTATGTCTTCTCTTCGATTGGTTGTTTTTATTCATGAACACCAGTTCTGTTTCAGTCATTTGGATTTTTGTTGCACTGGTTTAGTTCATGGTTCTCAGATGTGCTCACGGCTCAAACCCAAGATGGATTATGAGCTATTATGTCAAAAATAGCTCCATGAGAGATTGTCATCAAAAAGGATTATTTTTAGATGGCAATATATCTATATAGTAAGATATTGGTAGCTTTAATCTGTCTCAAAAATGGCTCAGAAAGAAAATAAATTAGTAAAAGTCTGAATGCTTAAAATTGATATTTCAACTGTAATTAAATATCCCTTTAAATCCTGTTCCAAGTGTCTAATCTAAATCCTGTCTGAATAAACTATTATGGTTACTTCAGATCAAGCATGCTCAGATGAGGCACTTCAGTATTTCACCCTGCAATACAGTGTGAGACTTGTTGGCTACTCACGCAACATGGGCTTGATGTGAACTTTTAAGCCTTACCAAAATACGTACTATGTAGAGCACCAGGCATCAGATCCCACTCAACCGGGGAAACGAACACAAACCAAAATATGAAAAAAGAGAACAAAAGAATTAGAAAACTTAATACAGGTATCTGTGGTTGTATTTTCCTCTCCCAACCTCCAGTCAAACCCCACCCTTTGTCCCAAAGGTCCTGTGATGCTAATCGCTCCTGAACTCCTCTTCAATTTCTGGGAGGTTCTTTTTTTCTCTCCTCAGGGTCTCGGTAAGTGGCCTGGAGCTGCTGGGGGACTCCAGGTTCTTGGGTTCATTCGTGCGGTAGCTGCCCTTCTGCTGATACGCATAGACATAGATGCTGTACAGGCCTCCGAAGAGCAGCAGCAATGCCAGGATGACAATAACTAAAGGATAAAAATAACACAGAGTTAATCTGCAACACAAGGAGAAAGGAGGTACTCCTAGAGATACTGATGAGGAGCAGGCACTGTTCGACTGAATCTTTAATGCTGTAGTAGTCTGTCCAAACTGCAAAGAGAATAGCTACATGAGCAATTTCTATGCACTTCAATCCCAAAAATTGAAAGATAGTTCCTTTTCTTTTTATTATTTTTCTTTAAATTCAAGTTCATACAATTGAATTGAATTGAAATGCAGTTCAAAGTAGAAAATAAAGAGAAGGGCATTTAAGGAGGAATTGCAGGAATCCAGCCTGCTCATTAAAATGTTGTGCATGGAGTTTTAGAATCATAATGGAAAAAGGCAAACTTAGCAATGTAACTAATGTGATTTTTAAAGGTCAAGTCAGCATCCCAAATGACTCCTATTTTCTTAATGTGGTTACATGTTTTATAAGACTATTATTCTCTTAAATATTCACAGACCAGCTGCTTGTGAGCCAGCAACAAAACCAGAATTATTGTTAGTTGGTAGCTCAAGCTGCTTCAAGTTGCTTTACAACTAAAGGTTCAGACCTCAGATCTTGTCCTTTTTCTGAGTGTAGTTTTAATATTCACCCTGCATTTGCTTGGGTTTCCTGTCACAGTCCAACGGCATGAAGGTCAGGTGAGCTGGAGACATTAAATTGCCTGTAGGTGTGTGTTTGTTTGTCAGTCAGTGTGTTCACTGTGTAATGGCCTGGCGAAATGTCCGCAGTGTTTACCAGCCGTTCCACCATTGCATGCTTGGAGAGGCCTCAGCCCCTAAGGTTCATTGCCTCAGTAAATGGATATAAAGAATGGATCAATGCTGTTGATACTGTTCAAAAGATATACTGCACCTAATGCAGCGCTTAGAGCAGCAAGGAAGCAAAACTGTTATTTAAAGTGATGTTGTCACAGGACTAATGAAGGAAAAACATACGACTTCAATATTCTATCCAGCACAATTTGTTTTATCAACTACAGTTGTGTATTTTCTCAGTCATAACCATTTTATCCTGAGCAGTATATCAGACGGGGATGATGTCTGATAACCAGAGGGGACCATTGTTGGGATGCCTGAATGGTGCAGTAATCTTAAATGACATAATGATGTCCTGCATTAGCATAATACCTCTGAATCTGAATGATCTATTAAGCTGAACCATCTATCAATGACGAACAGTAAGCTGGGCCCATGCAGACTAAATATAGCTGATCCGGTAAAGGTCTCAGACAGGGATGGAGCAGAGAGTCTGTGCTGCAGTTTAATCCTGAGACTCCAGCCTCTGCCGCTCATCAGGGGGACCTGCTCTAATTTCTTCCGTCATCTGTAACAGCGCGTTCCAAACCGTTCATCTGGCCTCAACACTCAACATGTCCTCTTGTAATTAAGTGCAGAGTCATGAGGATTAAATAGGTGAAGAAATACATGAAATATTGATGTTTTCAAAGAAATCAATAGATGGACAGAGAAAAACATATTTGTCATATTTCAGCTGCAGTTTCATGCTTTTGTTTGAATGTGCTCATTCCTGTGTTGAATCATTTTTCAAAATGTTGAATTACATCAGAATGAATTAACATAAAATCTGTGATGATAAATGTACGAATAATACTAAATGTCTAATAGCATTAAAATATAACTTTTGGGTTTTTTTAAACTACTGAAATTCCCTTATTTCTCTTCTTAGATCATAATGTCATTCTTTGTCATTGCCTGTTGCTTTCACATGATTGCTGATAGTCAGGTGATAAGGGAGTAGAGGCTTAATGTACTATTAAAGTTATTATACTCACTGTAAATTAACTATTTCCTGATGAGTATTGAATACAAATGTATGAGTCTAAGTACATAACAGACATTTGAAATAATTTCTAATGTCAGTTTATATATCTGTATTTTACTAATTAATTTCACTTATACACTCAAATAGATTAAAAAGATAATCTGACATCAAGTGAATGGAATCAGATATAATCTTCAGTATGATAATAAAGCATTAGAAATATCTTATAGCCTGTTCTGCTCTACAAGTATCTTTTTTTTAGTAAATTTGAGCCTGCAGTCAGATGCTTGAATAAACACTCAAAAGCCCACATTGGAATCTGACAACCCTGCTCTAATTTAGGATTAGAGGATTTTAGAAAAAAAGGAAAGAGAATTTCAAACGGTTATCTGGGACAGGGTGAAATAGTGAGTAAAACAGGAGAGGGAGAGAAGAAGTGCTTCAAAATAAAATGAAAAATGTCACATTACTGGTCTTATTTTTTAATGCAGCAATTCAGAAACAAGGCAGATATGCAGTATTTGTGCATCCAAGGCATCGTCTTATTAGAGTATTAAAGAATAGAAAAACATTTATCTTACCTGTTATCCAAAATAGACCAAGGTCATCATGGATATAAAAATACTCTGAAAGGGAAAGGTACATAAATGAGTGGATGAACACAAAATAATATTATTTTTATATTGATGCATTATGGGACATATAAACTCACCTATGCTGGTAAACCACGGGTCTGCCTCCCATGGTACATAACCCAGGACAGGAGGGAAAGCACCACAGTTGGACTCCGAAACGTAGCCTTGTGTGGTTACCGGAGGGTCTGTTTCATTCGGACGGAAGAAGGCTTTTAAAGGGGCGTAAACGTTGTATCTCACCCCAGATATGCAGCCTATGAAACCTGGAGCATTATGCCTCTGGATGTCATAGTCAATGTCACCAACCTCTGAAAGAGCAGACAGAAGCAATATAACATATCTTAAAATAAAGAATTAATAAATAATACTGGTAGCAGGTAAATACATTAGGCTACATGTTCTCATCAACAAGAGGTACATTTGATATTTACCCATCACTCTGCCCAGGAACATGGACTTTGGAGAGTCAAATCTGGCATCTTCCACCAAGGTTATCTTTTCCACTATGGGTTCCATGTAATCCACCTATGGGCAAGGCAAAATAAGTTATATATCTCATCTTTAAAGGAAGGAATTTAATTCATGGAGAGTACGTATGTAAATGACTAAAATACAACAAACAGAACTAATGACAAAAATAAAACATTTGCACATGGAACACTTTTATTTACTTTACTTTTTAAGTTGTAAGTTATATGTTATATTTTAGTTATATTTTATATTAAAATGTGTTATATTTTTTACTCTTCTACTTGTGTGTTGCCTCAGGGAGTCAGGTAAAGTAAGACTTTCATTGTACGTACAATGTACGTATAATAAACCTCTTGAATCTTGAATCTTGAATCTTTTAAAGTTTAAGTACGCAGAACTTTAATGAACTATATTCTCAATATTTTGTATGTAGAGGCTATTTGTGTACTTAGGGGAATAGTTATTTAATCATTATTTAATATACATTTTGGGAGCTACTACTACTACTACTTGTTTTCTTGCCAAGATTTATGCCACTGTCATGTCTGTATTGTAAATATGAAGCTTCAACTAGCAGCTGATTAGCTTAGCTTAGCATAAAGACTGGAAACTAAGGGCAACATTTAGCCTGTGCAAAGGTAACACAATCCTTGTGACCTAGTTAGCTTAGAGTTGCAACTATGCAGATTTTGCTACCTTAGAGCCGGACTAGCTGTTTCCAGTATCTATGCTAAAGTGGCTGCTGGTTCCAGTTACACATATGAAAATGGTATCAATTTTATTATCTTACTCTAAGCAACTAAAAAAATAAGCCTATTCCCCAAAATGTCAAATTATTCTTGATTTCAAGAAAATTAGGCTGTACTTTGGTAGTTTGTGAGCTGAATATCCTTAAATTGGTGCACGGCAGTCTATAGGTTTTTCTAGATATAATAAATTTCTTCATTTAAAATAACATACCACAGACTAACAAATAACAAACCCCAGATCAGAGTTTACACAGTGACAGCAGTGAGAGCATGAACCTGTGTTTTGATGGTTCTGTTGTGTCTGGTTATGTTGACATAGTGGGGGTAACCATCTGCCAGGTTTCGGTGAGTCAGCTGGTACTTGTGTGTTATGAGCCCCAGCTTATACCTCAGATCTACACTACCTGTGGAGAGAGAAGATGCAAAAAGACATTAACAGCGTGTACTGTTTTGATGAATAACTGCATTGCATCATCTTTGGTAGTTTTTTGAGATTCTGGATCTCTAATCTGTGAATAAAATGAATCTTCTGCCCTACAAATATAATCCAACTTCAAAAATTCCCCAAGTTTTTGAGTTTCTCCTACCGTCAGTCTTGAGGATGACAGCAATGTAGTCTTGGACAAAGGAGCTGATGTAGAGCAACACAGCTGGTGTATGAACGGTGCTGAAACTGAACTCTATGTCATCTGCTGTGTCATTGTAGCCGAGACTGAAGTTGTCATAGTGCGGATCGATCCAGTTGGCCCATGCTGCTTCGTCTGATACAGGCTTTTTTCGTATGTTGTATCTCAGCCACGAGCCAATCTCAAAGTAGGCGCCGATGTCTTAGAAAAGATTGTCCTTGAATTAGATATCTTAATGTATTCTAAAGTACTGCTGTAGATGACTATGTGAAGGTTTTTCAGGGCTCTAAAGAAACATGAACTCACCTTTATGGCAGTAGAAGCCATCAAACGCTGTGTTGTTACAGTCACAAGTGTAGGAAGCATAGCCCTCAATACACTGGCCACTGTTTCGGCATGGTATGGTAGCATTGAGACACTGTCCTGTACAGTTCCTTCTTATACCCTGTTCTTCATTTACTTTCCCCTCTAGATCAAGAGGAACCCCGTTCATCCGTAAGCCTCGAAGACACCCCAAGAAAGGTCTTAGGGTGCGGTTGGCTGAACCTAATTCAAAGAATACTTTTATCAGTGGTTATTCATCTTCATTTAAAGTTTAGAGAGGACAGAATACAATTCACTGTATGTCATGCCAGTTTTAAATTCTAAATTTTCAAGTTTCACCTCAAACAACCTACCTACTAGGAGAGGATGTGTAAACTTCATGGTGACAAAGGTCTGACCTGGGAAACGCCTAACAGCCCAAGGCTGATAATCAACTTTGATCCGGGCCAGTTTCACATTAATCTCGGCCTGAACAAAGTGCCACTCATTGTCATTTAGTGGCACAGGGGAGTGTAGTGTCACATTAATGATGCCATCACCAACCATAAATATAAACAGCAAGTCATGGGTGGCTGGAAGAGGAAAGGAGAAAGAAGAAAAGGTCAAAGATCAAGTCATTCTTCAGTAAATATTTCAGATGTATAAGGAGAATAGCTCCCTGCTACAGTAGTAGATGAGTCAACTCACTATTCATCTCTATCCTTATGAAATTTCGAAGCTGTTCATCAGAGTTCTCCAAGAAGACACCATGGTCACGATAGGTTTTGAAGTGGAAGGAGATGTCAGCTGTAGAGCCAGGCTTGAAGGTGGGGAAGGTTATATATGTGGGCTTGGTGAAGGCTATGGTGTTCCAGATGTTTCCTGTGGAAAACATAAAACAATATATATATAATTAAAAAAAACACTTTCAACCCTTCAACAACACTGAACATCACTGTGTGAGCCATAATATTTAAGCTCACTGTCGCCATGGCAGCGGAGTGGCCCAACAGTGAAGTGTGCTTCTGAGCCTGTCCTGTTGGTGTCCCCGACTACCACCTTCCTCACAGGCAGATGGTCTCTAAAGTCCAAGTAGCCCTTATCTGAGTACCTGAAAAGTCACAGTGGGGAAGACATCATTGTCAGTGTCACAGAAACAAACAAATCCTGCTCAATGTATCCTTCTCTCACCATTGTCTATAGTCAGCATCACAGTTGCATTGAAACTTGGGATCGGTGCAGGTTTGGTTGATAGCGCAGCCACACATCTGGACCTCTCTGAATGTTCCACCCCAGTAATAGTGACTCACATTGCCACGACCAATCCAGTAACCAAAAGGCCTTCCATCTATTTTGAAAAAGAAGTGGTTTCTTTTAAGTTTTCTATCTTCCTTGGTTTCCATGAGCACACTAGAAAATTAGCAAACTCAATAATTCCTCTTACTGGGGGTGTTGAGGAGACGGGACTTGTAGCAGGAGTAGTCAATCCACTGTTCACAGTACATGGAAGTGTTGGCTAGAGCAGTGACGTCATCCCAGGAGGCATTCCAGTAGTTGACATCTCCTATATATGGCCGGTCTATTGAACTCCCAGTCACCTTGGTACCATCAACTCGATCATGCAAAATCACTGTCCAAGCTTTATATGCTGTGAAGAGGCATGACAGATATAGGTCATAGCGATTAAATATTAAAAGAGGAAGAGAGAGGGAACAATAATGTAAGAAAAAGGAAAAGAATGAAAAGCAATTTAATGTCTGATAAGAATGTCAACAGAAAGCTTAGACAGAGTACTAGTTAAGAATAGGCACACTTTTCCAACACATACACACACACAAACAGCTGGGCCTATCTTGTTTTATAAGCCCTTTTATTTCCCATGAAATTTGAGTACACGTTTCTCATTACAGGAACACAGGAGTTTTCACTGTCCAATTTCTTATTAAAAACCCCCAGAGGAACCAGCAAATACTTAAAATGTTGCAGATGAAGCTGTATTTTATAACTTACACTTCATTTTGCAGTACACTTCAAATGGTTTCAGTGGTCCACTTAGATCCGGATCAATGGTATAGTTTCCAGACCAGTACTTGCCACTGAGTCTGTAGGCCTCGCACGACTCTTTATAAACAGCTGTTCAAGAAGCGAGAATTTGTTGTTATTATTAGGAAGAAGTATGTCACAGGCCAAGTGAAATTAATTGTAGAGCAACACACTAATTACAGTGGTTAACACTACCAGCCAGCACTTACACATGTGACACACTTCTCCTTTATAGCCTGTGTTCTCACACAGACAGATAAAGTCATCCAAGGACTGGATGCATCTGCCTTCATGTTCACATGGATTTGGAGTACATCTGTAAAAAAAGAAAATATTTATATTGAGTATTTTGATGTTACAAAAGTGATAACTTACATAAGTCTGTCTTTTTTTCATTTCCACATTCTCTATTTTTCTTTTTGTTCCTTTAGACACGGTTTTATGGGGTGAAAGCTCTAAAGAAGTGACACCATTAACAAAATTATAAGTGTATTCTTTCAACTTTAAACTTCAACCTTCAGCTTAATTATTGTCACCAGAGGATAACTGATTTAACAGAAAGCCACAGTGCAATATTTAAAATAACATACACATACAATACACTAAAGAGGAGGGTAGGAACCCTATTGCTACATTCTTTAAATTGGGTGATATTTCTTACCTGTCAGTGATGCCACATGTGCCCAACAACAGCTCAGCATAACGCCCCCACTGTCGTTGCAGAATAATGTCAATATCCAGCTGTTCATCGTCTATGAAAATATGTTGCATGCAACCATGGAAGCGGTTCAGCTTGGTTTCACACTTCCTTATTGTGTTATTGGTTTTTGGACAACCTGAATGCAGGAAAGGAAACTTATGAATTGAACAATATATGATTTCAGGAGCTGTCAACAATTGTTTTAAACCATCACCGTACCTCCAAAAAAGTAACGGTCTCCTGTCCGAATTGTAAAAGGGTTGGTGATCTTTAGCGGAGAGGCCTTCTCCTCATCAATTGTAAGGGTCAGCAGGTTGTCTCTGGCTGCCAAATCCACTGTATGCCAGTAACCATCATTTAGCCTGTATCCTAGAGGTTGGAGAAAACTTGTCATGCAATCTTTCTACAATCAGATTCAGGACAGAGATCACATGCACAATGCACAAAATCTATCCAGAATTGACTTCTAGTTAAACCCCACCCCCAAACAGGGATTGTCCAATCATACATTGTGTGAGAATTTCGAGCTAGTTACTCTGTGTCTAAAGAGTTTGGAGGTTGGTGTGTTTGTTTAACCTTTGCAAAACCAAAAGCTGCAAGTGCAAAAGTGTATAAAATAACTAAACAGTGTGTTTATCTGCTCTAACACAAGCTGCAAATATTAGCATGTCTATCTAACAAGTTTAATGTTGTGTATGTAGCTATCAAATCCATGGTTAAGACCATTTTTACTAGGTTTTCAAATAAGCTGGAAAGATTAAATACAGCCTAAAAAATCTGTTAACGATTGTTTCAGCTGACAAAATCTACAGTTGTCAGCTATTATTGAGACGGAGCAGGAATGCATGAAGCTTTAGCAGTTGTATGTTCAAAAATCTACAAATGTAATCTTTTATGTCATATCTGACAAGGCCAAAGACAACATAAGCCCACCTGCAGCAAACTGGAGTTTCTTCTTGCCAGGCTGGAATATAGTGACGTTGATCTGGCCCTCACTTAGGCCCAGCTCCAGGGCACCCAGGTCATCAGCAAATCGTGTGAACATTAGCAGCCCTGTGTAGTCCCATGAGCGGAACTTAAACTTGACGAACATACGAGGCCTCCTAAAGAAGCCTGGTACCTGCAGGTAGTTGTTGGGCCCAGCAAAAGTCATCGGTTTGAGCAGATTGTCCCTGCAGGCAAAATGCATCTTTTTCTGAGGGAAAGAAAGACAAATTGGACCTCATCAGTGAAAATATTTCCACTGATTGTTATTGTATTGTAAGCGTGGAATGGATAAAGTTGTTTAATTACAATTAATGGTGATAATCAGAAACAGTGATATTATTACTGGAATGCTGGGATCCTTTCGCGGGATGCGGATGTCAGGTTCTTCTCTCTGTGCCTTGTCAATGATGTTGATGCCATTGATGAAGACGTTTTCCAGGCAGCCTTGGAAATTTTGTGTGGTGGGCAGGTGAGGCAAATTTTGCTCTATGACACCTCCTACATATAACTAGGAGAAAGGTATTCATTCACTTAGTCATTGTCATTAACCACAAAATTCAGTCAATTTGTAAATAAATTCAAAAAGACTTGACCATTCAAATTAGCTCATTAACTGGCTTTTAATGAATTTTTGAATGAAATAGTTCACAAGCTGCCTTCAAGTTGTAATTAAATTGCATTTGGAAGATTCCTCCAAAGAAGCAAATGTATTCAGCATACATCTAATTTATAATTTCCTTTAATGATCTTATCTTTCAGTTTACATATTATATTACTATAAGTACATCCACATAGAAATTATCCTTTAATGAGGTACCTGTGTATCCAGATCCAGGTGTGTAAACTCTCCATTACAGATGCCTGTAACTGTCTGACTGTCCACTGTAAAGTTCACCTGTCGACCATAGCGCTTGATGGTGACATAGTGCCAGTGTAGATTATCAAGAAGGCTGCCAGCAGTCAGTGTAACTCGACCATCGACTTTGTGTATTACACTGCTTCCTGAAAAACAGAGGGCAAGGACAGAAGGAAGTAAAATCAGCTCTAGTTAATGTAAAACTGAAAGAAAATGCAGATTTTTTTTCTTAATAAAGAAACTGTAGGGCTCCATTGAACAATCTAACCGGTGATATTGAGAAGTCCCCCAACAATTATATTTCTGGACTGAGAAAAGTCGGCTTCTTTCTGAGATGAATGTCTTTTGTCACATATGGCAATATTTTCTTTACCCAAAACTCTACAACACGATCCCTTCCAGAACTTTTTTTTTTTTTTTTGGCCTTTATGCCTTTATTTGACAGAGACAGCTGAAGACAGACAGGAAAGGTGGGCAGAGAGAGAGAGGGGGCGACACGCAGCAAAGGGCCGCAGGTCGGACCCGAACCCGGGCCGCTGCAGCAACTCCGCACATGAGTCACCAGCTCCACCGACCAAGCCAACCGGGCAACCCCTTCCAGAACTTTTAAATGTAGTGGGCATGTCTGTATAATATAGTCATGCCCAAAATATTTTCAACTTTATTTGTCCAACAAACAACTCAGGCTATACCTAGGCTGATGTGCAGGTAAAGACGACCTCTCTTGAGCTCCAGGGTGAGGAGGTCTCCTTGAATCCCCTCACTGTGTAACAGCAGACCATCCTCATATAGAGTCTTGAAGTTGATGGCAATATGGTCATGTAGTGTACGGGACCTCTTCCCAGGGTACATGTAGACTACCGAGTCATCCCCGTCGTACTGTAGCACATAGGAATCTGCAGAGAAAATTTTACATTTGGAATCACTTTTTGCAAAAACACTACAGAGGATTTAGATTTGACATATTGCTCAAAATGTATGTGATTTTAGGTTATACAGAGTCTTATGTAGGATTATACGAGGAAATGCTGCGTGGCACATTTCATGGAGCTCCTTGGATGTGTTGGCATTTAGTTGGTGTTCCGGAGTATGAATCAGGTGATACTGAGCTTATTCATTTATTAACTAGAAACACATTGTAGCATATTTGGCACAAAGATTTTGTGGTATATTATCAAATATGATTAAGTACTGGGATTGTACAGTGTCCCTGGATGTGAATCAGAGGCAGTAAATCAGTCATTTTTACCATAAGAGCAGCCAAACAGCTCCAGCCTCACACCAATCTTCCCTCCGTTCTCTGTGTTCCATGCCAGAGGCAGCAGACGAATGTGTTTAGCAGTAAAGGCGTAATGGAAGACATTCCTCTTCACCTGATAATAATTCCAGTTCCCAGGCAGCGTCTGCAAACAGATTACACCAGGAAAGAGGGAAGAGAGTTATTGAGTCACTGCAATGGTTTTAACGCCTTATTAAGAGACTGGAGATGAAATGATGATGAGATTAGCTTTGTCAGTGTTGAGAGAGATAATATGCTGTGCTCTCTTTGTTTCTGTGCCAGTGACAATGAATATAATGGAACAACCACTGACTGGAGAATCGGCTGTAAAGATTACGTTTGACTAGTTAATCTTCGCCTCATCCCTGTTATGGCATTCATCCCACCCCAACCATTCTGGCTCAGTGACACCTACAGAGTTTCCTCCTTTCATGATGTATGGCGTCCAGGAGTCTGGTCGGTCTCCATAGAGAAGGGTGTACTTTGAGACCCAGTCATATGAGTTGAAGGTCCCCTGGGTAGCGATGGCCAACAGTCGATACTTCCTGCCCAGGTCTACCTGAAGCCATGGCTGTCTGTCCCTGGGGGATGGGGACCAACCACTGCTGCCTGAGAGGGAGAAAGAAGGGTGTTCATTTGGGGCATAATTACAGCTTGACTGGGATGAAATCATGACCAAAGCAATAGTGACAGCCATTTTAAACTTCTGTCAAATTTGGGGTGGGGAACTATAATGAGCAGATAAAATCCAACCACTGTTTTGTCTGGGATTGGACAAGCATTTTATTATCAATGTTATTAGTTACACTTGTGCTTTTCCTATTATGACAAATTAAACATCTGCCTTTAGAAAGGTCTGTAAGTTAAATGGTGTGAAATCACGGATGAACTCAACACTACAATTAGGAACTTACCATACAATTTGGCAAAATTGGCAGAATAAAGAAAGTTATATCTGGAGGAAGCCAGGAAGGAGGAGGCATACAGCCCAGAGACAAGCGGATCAACACATTCTCCTGCAATGACAATAAGAAAGACACCAAGGTCAAGAGTTATTAAGACAGACTCAAAATGACTCATAATGCACCACTCACACACGGCTTTCAAAATGATACAGTTTTCAACAATAACTGGTACAGCTGTGCAGATTGATAAGAAAAGAGCATTCTGAGTTTAATTAGAGGCTAGTCCATACTCCATAAGCCAAAAAAATACAAATTTGGCCAGATAAATCCAATTAAATTCAAAGCGTAGCACAAACACATTTAGTCTTTCTACTGGTAATGTATACAGATAGTGAGGTCATTCATACTCCACAGTAAATCCCAGTCCTTTAATAGTCTCATTATAATGTGGTGGACCAAGACATATAAATCTAACTAACTGTCCTGACATCTGCTCTGAGAGCGCATCATCTTTGCATCTTCATTTATTCACAGGTTGGATGGGACTAGCAGTAAAATAGACTGACTAACAGTTACTGAATACGCACACTGTCTCTGTTACATAACACCGCCTTCCTATTTCAAAAGCGTACAAAATGGATCTGGTCTTGTGTTCTTCAGTGTTGCACAGACAGAATAAAAATAATGCAGCATCACATGAATGTCTTTGTGGATGTGTGTGCATGCTTGTCAGTGCATGCATATCTATATATTTCTGTGTAATTTCTTGAAAAAGTGCACTTTCATGTGCAGGAGAGTCAAAGTCAAACCGAGACTGATGGACCATCGCCCATCTGCTCAGACTCGCTCTCCAGCCCACGGCTAATAAAACTGACCATAATTCTACCTAATCTTGCTTGTGTCACTGCTGAGGATAAATGCGCGATGCCCTCACCTCGAGCTGCAAGAGAAACACTGTCTCATTTTAAGTGCCAAAGTATGCTCTTTAATACTCCCAAGAGATTTAATATAGATAGGCTAAAAGCAATAAGGTAAATGAAAGCAGCTCTAATCTGGCCTTCATTTTCCTTATCCCTTAATAGTGTATTCCTCTCCAAACATCAAGAGTTGTTTACTGGTAAACAGAAAATCTGGCATTGTAATTCCTGTTCTCACAGTCACAGAGGTCATGCAGCACAGGAGAAAAGGCAATAGACATTAGCTGAAAACAGGAGATTCTAGCAGAATTGGAATGCAGGCTGCAGATGGAGCCAGATGAGGAAGGATACTGCATCTACTCAAAATTTCATTTAAATAACTTCCTGAAGAAATTAGGAAGTAGAGAGATTTCATGATCCTCCACTGCCTTACATTTCCTTAAATGACACATGAAACATAGGTCAGCAATTATACATTCACCATTTGCTGCCTTGTGCGGTAAGAATGTGTTAGTCACATGAGCGTGACTTCTGTCGCCTTTTGTGCAAGGACACGCTGCACATTCAGGTGGAGGAAATGTGCTGAGCAAGGGAAATGTGACCTTGACGTTCTGCCTCCATCTGCCTCCCTCCGAGGCTATCTCACTATCTTTTTTTGATACCAAAATATCTGCTGTAATCAATAACAGACCTCTGATGCATCACTCCATGATTACATTGTAGCGCCATTTCCAGTAATCCACTGCTCAAATGGCTATTCAAACAACAATATTTAGAAGCTTTGTGCTGCAGGCAAAGCTCATTTGCTGCTAACGGCTTAATGTTTATTGATTTGTTTTAATTCCTCAATTAGTAGTAAAAGGAAGAGAATTTGACTTTAAATGTAGAGAGCAGTTCCCTCTCAGACTACAGCAGGTTAACCCAGGCCACTCAGCTCCTCAGCTCCTCCTCCTCATGGCAAGTCTGTCACGCACTCTACACCCCCACCTATTCAGCATCTTGCATCCTTCCCCTCACTCTGAGTCCTCTCTCTTTATCTCCATCCCTACTCTGAAAAGCATCCACTATTTCTTGCTCTTACTGCATCCCATTACCTCATACTCTCTATAATCATCATCTTGCTATTTTTTACTTCTCTCTCTCTTTACCTCTCTCACCCCAAGTGGGCGTTGTCACATTGCAGTAGCTAAAGTGTACCTGAAGGCTGTGCAGAGCATCCAGACACCAGATTTTCACCCCACTCCTGGCCACCCTGCATCCCCCCTCCCTTCTCTGCACCACACAGAGTTGTCATTTTCTCCATTTATCATTAAGGGGATGTGGGGAACAGTGTGGTTGTGTAGAGCTCCAGCATCACTCTTGCTGAATCATCAGTCTGCTGTAAGTGTAGGCTGCTCTGTCTGGGCTGACACATCATTACTGCTGGTTACATACAGTATGCAGAGAGGCACCTCCTCTGGCTGTCACTGGCCTGTGATGCGTTGCCACTGAGGATTCAGACAGCAGCCTTGTATGCCTGCGACTGAATGCAGATGTCCACCAACATTAAAATCCCCAGAATATTGCAACAGAACAGCACATAGGGTAGTGGAAATATACCATGTTCTGTTCAAGGGGTTTTAATAAATCATTCATAGCCAGCCATGCATCACAGTGGGTGGTGTCGGACTGCTGCGGGAATAAAGACACAAATGCAGAACATCAGAATCGCATTCAGACTGATCTCAAACAGCATAATTTTTTCCACACTGAGCAACAACCCCTTCCTTCTAGATATCAATTTCCTTCATATTCACATGGACCAGTCGGTCAGTCTCCTGCTGCTTGGGATGCTAACCATGACAGAATGCACACGGAATAAACTTGAGATTTATGCATATGTGTTACAGTCACACACACACACACACACACACACACACACACACACACACTTTACAGTCTCAGCTCCACCCAAGGCTGGGTCTCTGTGCTCTGGGATCTGAGACTCCATTTCAATCTGGCAAGGTTCCACTGTGCACTTTCATGCAGATATACAGTGCTGGCCTGCTATAATGTGCCAGCGCAAGCAAAACTCACAGGCTCCCACTGGTTAGCATTCAGTGATTCAGTAAGGTTTACCAATTTCCACTCATTTTCAGTCTTTTCTGTTGATTCACTTTTTAATTTTCTTAAAACTACAGCAAGATAGCACCATTCACTTCCCAACAGACCATGTGACAGAACTTCTAGTAATCACAAGCAGCATGGCATCATAAACAAACCATTTTTCATCAAAAAACTTAAGGCAATAGCACAATGCCTGACAAGGAATGTTATTTACTTGCAATAACTTTACACAAAGAGCCTGCAAATGTGCACAATATCTATGTAAAGTGGGTCCACTAACTGTAATACTAGTTAGCTTTTGTTTCTCCAAAATACAGGGTAGGTATACTGCATTATATCCCTAAATAATCCGTGGTCAGCTATGTTTAACCCTCAAAAACAAAATACCAACAGTAGTGGATGTTACTTCTATTCTTAATTTTGCATTCCTACCTATCCAGGAGTCACATGACAAAGCATCCCTCTTTCCTGATCTCTCACTGATATCAAAACCAATGAGTCATGCAACGCGCTGTATGGGGTTAATAAACGGGACCCTCTGAAGTCATCTTGACACTGACATCATGCACAAAGCTTATTAGTATGCATACATGCTCTGTAAAAGATGGGTAGATGGCACCTTTCCCCTTAACCAATTTTAGCCCCAAACACAACCCCACCTCTGTCCAACTAAAACAACCACATGACTGCTTCATTGATCTTTGAGTAATGATTTCCCTGCCAGGTGAATCCGTGCCCGTCGTGTGCAGGATGCAGGGCTTTACGGACAGGTGATGGGAACACAGGCTTCCCAAAAAAGTGCTGCAGTGGGCTGGTCCCGGTCAGGACGCTGATCTGTGCTCTCTCAACCGTCACTTTGAAAAGCGGATTTTGAGCAACAACAATACACACCGTCAAAGCGATTTAGAGATTGTATTAGAAACAGCCAAATAGACTCTCGAGCAGCATCGTGCTATGCAAAGAAGTCGAGAGTTGAACACACACGGTGCAGAAACTTGCGTGCTGGCTGAGCGAAAGTACTGCAATGCAGACAGTTCAGTGCATGGGGATCGCCGTGCGCGTCTTCCGCAGGACCGACGCGGTTTTGCTTCTACACTTTTTTTGTGTGATCCAACAAAACAATGCTTTACTGAAATTACAATAGCCAAGACAAGCAGTTCAATTTAACGGTCTGTGTTTTAAGGCTGTCGCAACGTGTGTGTTGCCCTTCAAAGATCCCAACACCCGCAGGATACATTTGGCCCTCCAGTGGTATTTTCCACTTATTACCGAATGTTATCTTGCAACTTTTTCTTAAGCATACCAGACGCTAAACAATATGCACATAAGCAATGATGCACACTTTGTAATATTTTGATACTATTCTAGCAGCCGATAATAGATGAACAATTGCTGTTTCACAAGACTTACGTGATGAGCAATGTTGAAAACCCAAAAATAAGAGGCATATGCTCAGTATTTTGCAAGTCATCCTTCACTTAGAACACGTTTCTCCGCATAGGCTATGTTAATTAGATCGTAGATTGTTCTGCAGCATCCTCTCACCCCCCTTTAGCCCAACTTTAACTCGCGCAGCTCCAACTCCTCTTCCCGGGATCTCGGGCAGCCTCTACCGGAGCGGGGACGCGCATCGGATGCTGGTGCTGATGCTGCGCTTCGCCGAGAGCGCGCACTTCTTTTATATCCTTTAAATTGTTTTACAGTATTCACATGATCCTCATGTATTGGTGTAGCTCCTGTATGATATCATTCAACATAGGCCTATTTGAGAAATATGCGTAACATGCAGAGTGCTTGTAGGCCAGGCGGGAGTGGGAATCTGTTGGTCCCTTCCGCAGGAGTCTGGATGCAGAGGAGACTGGAGGGGAGGAAGAAAAAACTTTTTCAGTCCGCTGCAGATTGATAGTATTTTTCCAAAATAATATGAGGCTGTCTTCAATCTCCAAATAAGTACTGTGGAACTGGTCAAAAACAACAATTTTCCATCTAGGCTGTGGATCATAACACCATTGCACTAAAGATTTATTCCTCTTCTCTTCTGTCCTGGCATCTCATATTGTCCTTTGGCACATTTTTCATTGCTGCCAACTAGCCAAGAGTGCACTGCGCTAGTGAGGAGATGACTAAGAAGTCTTTCTCTCCAGGAATACAGATTTGCACTTGAATCCCAAAATAGGATGAAAGTCCTTAATATCCTGTATCGGCAGAAGAACCACAGAGAATGACAATCACAGCAAACCAGCAGGCTGCAGTGTTCTGCATGTTCTCTGTCTAACCTTGTTCAGGTACTCAGTGCAGCCCAGCACATTCACAAATAAGCCCAGAACAGAAAAGGTTACAGGATGATGATGCCAGCTGTGCCTGAACTCAGACTCATCCCTGCACACACACACACAAGGGGGTGGGGTGAGACTGAGGCAGAGGGGGATTTGTGGCAATGGGTGGCACATTGACCACAAAATAAAAAGGCTTTGGGATTAAGAAGTGGGTTTATGGGACAGCCGTGTGTCAGTGATGATGTGAGATTGAATGCCTGGGCCAGCGTGGGATTTACCGTGTTTTCAATCAAATCAGATTGTCAGTTTGTAAGCTCCCTGCCATTGGTTTCCCCCCTGAAACACCATAAGAGTATAGAATTATATCTGCAGAGAGAAGACAATGGCAAATGACATGGGAGAGTAAAGTAGGACATCAAATCAGCAGGGGAAGGGGCCACAGATGTGGCCCAGTCACTGCCAACTGAGACAGATATCACAATTATTTGGTGCTGTAATTTATCTCAATCACAGTGGAAATCAATATATTCCTCAAGTGTTCTGGATATTTATGAGATATTTTCTTATTGATATTGTGATCCATATTATTTAACAGATATCTAAGTGTGTAATTATCCCACACTACTGTCACCCACAGGCCTCAACACAACACAACTTGTATAGAGTTTGACATTAATTTTACCTATACCTATATTTAGGTACTAATCCAGAGGGGTGGCCACCCCAGTTTGGTGTCAAATGCCAAACTAATTTTAATGATCTGTTATGGACACATTTTAGACTAAGTGATAGGCTTAAGTTCAATGAAAAAAGACAACTTTTTGACGTTTGGAAAAATGTATGAAGATTGAAATGAAACAATTTGATTTCTAATGCTACCTTTAAATGTTTCTATTCAATGCTTTACTATGCCACAATAATGTAATGTTTTTTAGTTAAAAAATCTTAATTTGGGGTTTTTCCAAGCAAATATTGATATATGTGTTTGTTTGATTTTATTTTAGCATGTATTTTTGCCACCCTTTAAGTCTCCATGCCCCCCTCTTGCCACCCCATAAATATTTCACTAGTTCCAACCCTATATTAAAAAAAACCTTATTAAAGATAAAACAGCAAGAAAATAGGATTATTTCATTTGTTCAGTGAGTTGTCTCTGTTAGACACACATCAGTGAATTTAGTTTTAAAAACAATGTTGTCCTCCGATAATGACTGTTCTGTTGTCTTCAGATAACATGTACGGTACACACAAACACATGCACACCCTCTGTCCTACACATCTGCACCTAACCACAACCATCACTGGATTGCCATCTGTTTCATTGACCTTTTACATTTGACCTCATAGTAACTATAGAGACTGGTTCAGAGGCAATGCAGTAGGGTCCTGTTGGGGTTAATCTACTCATCTGGAAAAAACAACACAAAGGCTCAACTGATTAACAAGAGCAATCAGAGGCAGAATTTCCCGCAAATATAATTCAGGCTTTCCAATGCCCAGCTTTACTCACACCATGTTTGCTGCAAAATATGTCCAAAATATACCAAATCAGACCTGCAATCCTCTTATTTTTCTTACATGAATACTTTTGCTACTGGGCCAAAATACTTCCACCTATTTTATTATTTGACAAGTTTGAAAAAAATGTCACTGAAATATCTTGAAATAAGACAGAACACAAAATGAATTCACTTTTTTACTCAGCTGTCACTTGAGGCAATATAAATGACATACTACTTAAATATTTATGTCACCTCGCTGGTGGACATTTTTAGGAATAACATCCATCTACAAGTCAGTACAGGATTAAATAGCTTGTTTAGACTGATAAGTTTAAATGGAAACATACATTGGTTGATACATAGTAATTAAAGGGAAATGTGAAGGGAATAAACTGTATTCTGCATAATATGATTCACAACTCTCTTTCATTCATGTGCATTTGAACTAAATTTGCATTTTTGGAGATGCAGCAGTTTCAGAGTCAAACCACAATTGACCACTAGATGTCAGTTAAAGCTCAGACTTGAATTTCTCACATGCCATTAACAACTAACAAGTTGACTGATAAGCTGCTGTCCAACTCTCTCCCACAATCTATTCATCACTCAACTTTATTCTGTAGGTCTTAAATGATGTTTCATGCTGCCACAATGCATTCAACCTGCACATAAATTATAAATGACAAAGCAAATGATCTTTAGGTTAATAAAATGGGTCTGACAAAAGAATATGCCGGATCATTTGCGAGGACATATTCAGAGAAAGCTATGCTAAAGCAACTGAAACAGAATAACACATGTACCATAAAAAGTCACGCTCTCTCTTTCTTATTCTAACTTCTTTTAAAAACACACACATACAAACAAACACACAGGTGGAGACCCATGATGCCCTTGTTTCACACAAGGACTTTTTTTTTTTACGGGATCAGATTGTACTTTGGTCTGCCCCCATTAGCACTGTGTATTTTCCATAGGGGTGCCACTGTACACTGCACAGGACATATTCTGAGGGTACTAGCATGAAAACACACATAGAATGGCAGACATTCTCACACATAGACATACACCATCAAACCCACTACCGTGCCATGACCCCACACAAACAGGGGTCATGTCATGACTCACGCCCAGATGTTTCCAAGAGATAGTGTTGCTGATCTGTTATCATGGATGAGTTCTACTTGTCATTAAGATGGATGGATGAATCTGTAAAGATTTCAGTGATGAGCATAGGCTTTATTTATGTGTATCTGATATGTTGAACACAAAACAGAGGTGAGTAATGCTGACGATGGCTAGTTTGAAATTATGTGTCAGAAACTGGGGAATTCAGCAAAAGACAGGTGTTTATTTTGGCCACCACCTATGGGAACCTGATGTCCCTGCATACTGGTGGGTGAGCTGCTGTAAACAGGGCTATTAAAACAGCCTGCTCTCAGGTGTCCATACACTGGTATGACCTCCTGCTGGTGAGGGCCAATCCCAGTTGAAAATAAGCCCAGCAGGGAATGCACAGACTGGGATCCCACCTCTAAAGATCTCCCCTCGGTGTTAGCTTAACTGGTGTGCCAAGACAGCTGCTGCAACCTGTTTGACCACTAACACATCAGAGTGGATACAACAACCAACTTCGTTTAGGACATAGACACGGGGGGGGACCAAATAAAGACAATTTGATGTTTTTTTGATGTCCACTGTAAAGCCTTGTTAATATCAGTAAAGTATATTAAAAAGATGTAGTAGCAAGAGATCAACATGCAATTGGTTTATGCTCCTATTTTATAACGTCTATAATGTCTTTGTGCCTGCCTGGTCAACAGCAGAGCACGTAAACCATCTAAGCTCTCATCAGATTCCACTTTACTCTATCCAAACAACCAAGTGATGCTTGTGTGTTGAAGTGCAAGTCATGACACCTGTGCTTGTACCTGACACACATACACTTGAATACACTCACGCTTGCATACGGTTTCAAAGTTGATTTATTCACGGACAAGATGATATATACGCACAACGACAGCTCCACAAAGACAACAGCACTGACACCTGCATTAAGTTTAAATACCAACAACAGCTGCTGCCTAGTGGAGATGCATGGAGCTGAGACACTTTTGTTTCTCATGTTTGCTGCCAACACAAGCACACACAGAGATGTAGAGCCACAGCCAGTGACACACACACACCACTGGGTTGTGTTTCCCTCACGCAGCAGACAAGCCGCAGTTATTTAGTCTGCCTCCCAGTTTGTTTGCCCACTGTCTTCTCTCTTTTGTTGCTCTGCCTTGGGCTTTGTTTGATGTGAACTGCTGACTGTTACAAATGACAGTTGCAGCTGGGAGGATGATGAGCGAGGATGAAAAGGGTCACGCTAAATGACAAATTATGATGGTGGTCAGGTTGGATAAACAGCAATGTTTCTGTGTTTGTGTTCAAAAAGCAACAACTGAATGTTTCTCTTCACATTCAGTTACAAGGGGACACTGGGAAGTGGTCCAAACTAACTTGATTTTCTCACATTTGTAAGCAGGTCTAAAGCAATTCTTAAGGTCAGTAGTTCTGCTGGCCCATTTCTGCAGTGTACTGGGCTATGCACACACACACTAAGATATCTGGCCAGACATGCAAACTGTGTCCTTCCCCTCCCTAACTCAGTTCCTTGGAGTTGAGCTCCAGTAAAGTACCTTTTGGCATGGAAGCTACAGAACAGCTTGTCCTCTCAATGCTGGGCCCCACTCCACCGACAGTCTGCAGGTGGGGTGGGGGTTGGGGCATCTGGAGGGCAGTGATCAGTGCAGCTAATGGAAGGGAGGCCTATTTCTTAAGTGTTTAAGACCAGTTTGCAATGATGTCATGATACTAAAATCTTTATTCATGGGCAAAAAAGACTAAAATATCCTAACTCTTAAAATCAGAAACTCCTCTGCTTCCCTAGGTCAAAAAGCGAGAGAGAGATCATTAGTTGTGATGGTAGTGTATATTGTGCCTTGTGATGAACCATTAGTGAACAAGCCTAGCCACAGGCCAAGCCCATGGGGAGTTTGTGGTATACAGTATGTGAGTGAGGGTGTGTGTTTGGGGTGGGGTGGGGAGGGGGGGTGCAGAAATAAAATACAGCCCTACTCCTTGCAGTGTTCACCCTCTGAATCCATGAATGTTACTCCTGGAGGTCATGGCACCTAGCAACGGCCTGGATCAAGTCCTGAAGGAAACAAACACATAGGCAGACAGGCCCATAGACACACAGTTTATATAGTAACATACATTTTCCTTAACAAACCCAAATTGAACTAACTAGGTTGGTATGCCTTTTCTTGTGATATGATGTTGACCTGGAGTCGAGAGTAGTGTAGGAAAACATTTTCTCTTTTTAGTGTGCATGTGTCTGCATGACCGACTTGGTTATCTGCGAGCAAATCACTGACTTATCTAGAAGGCGGCACACAATGGGGTTTTTTTTTTTGGACTACTCAATAAATGTATCATAAAGAGGAATGTTTACATTACTTTTATGCAGAAATCATTGAAACATTGATTTG